ATGACGTACCCCATCTCTTCAAGGTGGGTAGGGATAGTCTTGCGGGCGAGGTGGAGCTTCTTTTTCGATTTGATGGATGTCGATTCAAGGAATTTTGTGTACATTTTTCGGAGGGCATCATCACCACAGGCCTTCCCCACTATTTTTCCAAACATAAGCTTTACCTGATAGTTTGGTTTAGTAAGGAACAACATTGATTTCAGATGAGGGCAGACTTGCCTTGCGCCAGGTCAATGGGTAAGACCAGTCCCAACCCTCAATCTTCTCACACACATTCTCCTGGTCAAATATGTAATGCAAAAGGATAGCAAGAGCTCCAACAGAGCAACGAAGCGGATTGTGGTGTGGCAGCACGAAGTTGTAGTCCAGTTCCTGCTTCTGTTATCCTCATCTCAGTAAGATATAAAACCAACAATACAAGTAAACTACAGACTCCTGGCTTCGAGACCTTTGTCTCATGATAAAGGGAAAGTACACCAAAATAATATTTACCGACACCGCAGTGTCGCCCGTCAGGTGTTGTATAGTTAGGAACAAGCAGGGAGTGGGGTTGAAGGCAGCTGAGCAGCAGATTGATGAGCTCATCGCCACGGTTGAGAGTGGTGCACTGCCAAGTCCAGCTAAAATGTGCTTTGATGACTGATGGGACTAGTGAGATAATGTCGTTAGCGATGGTAGAGAAGACATGTAATGGAACTCACGTTGATCGAGCTTCGTGAAGATAGCAGATGTGATCTCCTCGAAGTGCACGGCGTGCAGCTGTGAGTCCAGTATCGTGTTTTCGCTGATGTCGAAAAACTCGTCTCTGGAAAGTATAGTTATGAGAAATGGAATATGTAGGTGGGGAAAACTGACTTACTCAAGGCGCAAGCGTTGGGATTCTACCATAAGAGCCTTGTAAAAATCCTGGCTCCTCGATGTAGATGTGGGCCGACGTGCTTGCAGGGTAGGGTCGTTGTCGCACTGTCGCTGCCGAACGCGGCCGAGCATGGTCATATTCTTTTTCAATGATGACTATGGCATGAATATGTCAGTTAATGAGGCTCAAACAAAGACAGGGGTCACCGACCGATGATAAGCGTGCCGGGCCCTCCTTTGGGTGACCTCGGGTTGTAAAGAGGCTCCTTGTTGCAGCATACTTGAGGTATTCCATGGTGTGGTTGGCATCGACGATGTGGTCAGGGATCGTGCCCGCAGCGATCGCTATGGGTACCCAGCGCTGCCGTGCAGGCGTTAGTGATGTCCCCTTGCATAAAAACTGATAAAAAACATACCCGCCACAGAGAGAGCACGCTCTTCTCTGTTTGCTGCCCACTTTTTCGCCTTGTGTCCATGATGTATGCATCAATCTAAAACTGGTCATGATCGGCAGGTAGAAGCTTGAGGCAGAAAGCGCGTACCCAAGCTTTCGAGCTTTCTGTGCCTGTGATGAAAGGGGATGTTACTCAAGACGTTGTGCTGGATGAAACTGAACTCACCCAACGTATCGATCTCCATAGAATCCTCGCGTGGCCCATCGTCACCTTCATCGTCACCGTGGTCATCCTCATCGTCGCTCTCTTCACCCGGACCGTCGTCTGCGTTCTCGAATCCGTGGTTGAAGGACTCTTGCATCGCTTTTGCGACGTCGACCGTTTGGTCTATCCCAGCAACGACGGCGCCTGCAGCTGACAGACTGGGGGTCTCTCTTTCTGTCTGTTGGCTCTCGTTACTGCTTGGTATCCTTCGTTAGCGTGAATTGACTCCTGCACAGAAGGCCGAGACAACGTACCTGGGTTTGGGCAAGCATTGCTGGTCATGCTTTTCAAGCCGCTCAACAAGCTCACCCTTCTTCCCACCGACCTTGAGGTTCCGCTCACGGCATAGGCTCTTTAGAGCAGGGACATTCAAAGAATAGCTGTAGAAAGTAAATAAATCAGCAAACGTTCAGTACTAACCATTGCGGTGCTTACTAGAGTTTTTTTGTGCTCTTCTCATTTGAAACCCGGCCTGAATGAAAACAAGATGTGAGCTCCCATTGAACGATGTACCACGGCACATTGAAGGCTCTTGCCTTGTCCTTTTGAGGTTCTTGCTGGTCCACTGGCAGGCTGTCTCGATGGCAAAAGCGGGGCTGAGGGGAAGGAACAAGGTTCGAACGCGTTCAAAGAGCGCTGATGCCCAACGCACCTTCTGCTTCGGGAACGGCTGTGGCGACGCTTTGGGAAGGTGCGGCTACAGACGCCGATTTTTGATGGGCAGACTCCGGAAAAAGCGCTGGATCAATGCTGAAGTTGTCCATCTGCTGAGGGGTGTCGTTGTCTGGAAAGCGGAATGAGGGCGCGCTCATGAGCGTATGACACGACGACGAGGACCTTGGAGTGGAGAATACTAATAATAATATTTATTGAATTATCTACATAGTATGCTAAGTCAGCGGGAGGACTTGGCCTGGTGATTTCCAGACCCTAATCCAAGTCACAGTTTGATTGTGATCTGCCAGCGAGATCACACACCCGAATTGTGATTTAGGGCCAAGTACTTCGCTTAGGGTTCTTTGGTCTCGGTCCGGTCTGGTTACAGTCTTTTTCCAGTCACGAGACCGGACTTCCAAACACTACGTACATGCGCACACCGTGCATCAGTCCTTCACCTACGTGTGGCGTTTCGAAGGTTGGCTAAATTGAGTGTGATCTCTTTGAACCCAGGACTTCAGTATCCCACAGACACCAAGAATAACGCCTGGTTCTCAACTGGTTCTATGTCGACGGTGATAATCTGATTCAGAACAAAAAAAGCCAACTATGATGTGGTAGAGCCTGCGAACGGCACTGTAAGAGTTGGGCACAGGGTAGATGAGACTCTTGCGGGCGATGGCAAGAAAGCATGTGTGTAGACTGCTACAACTTACATTACTTCAAGTTAAAGCTGAGTTATATATGAAGGCCAAAAGTCAAGGTCAGAATAATAATTCGAGGCCACCGTCCACTGACCACATTTGCAGAACCTCACGTTTTAAATACCCGATACGTTAGTAGAGGGTTCTTACACCCTCGGGTTCACTCAAAGAAAATATTTTCAAAGTTGTACTTGTTTGTTCCCCTCGTGACCCCATCTCGGCCCTTCCCGTCGTCGTTATTTTTAGCGTTTTTGAGGATCCTTTGCAGTTGTTTGTCCATCGGCTCTTTTTGCCGTCTCTTTGGGTTCACTGGCGATAACCTTTCGTTCTGTGCCCTTGTGCTTTTGGTACGACGATCGTTCTTGGCGGCACGTACAATAATGCTTTTACGATGATGGCGGTGTACAGCCTTGAGGATTTTACTTATTCAGAGGCCTTTCTCGTGAAAGAGGTGTTGTGTGGCAATGATACTTACGCCATCATATTTTTTAAGTTGACAAGTTAGGTAGAAGCTTTTGTTCTGTGCCCTTGTTCTTTTGGTACGACGGTCGTTCTTGGCGGCACGTACAAACTTACTAAGTGGCCTTTTCTCGTGAAAGAGGTGTTGCGTGGCATGCACTATCAAATTTTTTTTAAGTTAACGAGTTAGGTAGAAATCGATATAATGATGTCCAAGGAGTAAATAGATGTCCAAAGAGTATATAGATGTTCCACGTGGCAAAGTAGGAAATGAAAAATCATACATTCGTCCAAAAGATTAGTTGCGGCCGTGATTCAGTCAGTACTCAGTAGCGAGTACGGTCACTCCGAGTTACCACTGGCATCCCTCACAAGTTTAACAACTCAGGACTCGGGTAACAGTGAAAACCAAAATTCATAAACTGCTGCGTTCCGCTGAATGAAACTGCTCTGTTAACATGTAGTATCTCCCACAATAAATCTGTGCAACGAAATGAATAGATTGCTGTGACTGACCATGTACACCACACAATACTATACAGCACGCTGACTCGAAACTACTAAATGTGTAAGCAACGGAACTTGCTGTGACCAACGTGATGGAAGATTGGGTATCGGGTTTTGCGCCCGCAGGCGCGCTAAGTGGTTATTCCTGGATACTTTAGTATCTAGGTTTTAGAAACACCATCACACGTTTGTTTGTTGAACAGCAGCTTTGGTATTAAACACATAAACAAAAGGCACACAGCCTCCACAGAGCACCTTTGTCACACGTCACGCTCCAGAACGCGTCCACGTGTTAGCGTTATCCTCTTATATTAGCTGCAAATCCGATTCTTCATCTTCTTCACCGTCTCTCGACGTCCGTGGTACGCAATGCCTCGTAAGTTCCACTTCCTTTTGGTCTAGCGTGCTAGCCTGATGCTGGGCTCCAGGCAAGCTTTCGTTGACGGTGGGTGATACGCGTCGACTCAACAGCGTGGACTGACACTGCGGTGCAGATAGAAGAGATTAAACACATATTAGGCCCAAACACTACCGATGCATTGGTGGAGGATTGGAAGGTAGGTGGGCAGATGTCCTTCACTTTTCGACTCCGACGCGACCATTATCTCTTCAGGCAAAGTTACGGAGAATGATAGGCGACTATTTCGATTTAGACAGGACATACGGTGATCAGCCTGAACATGAAGCCATGGCTGATGAAGAGGTACTGATCTTCTATCGTTAATATTGCATGTGATCACATGCCTTCGTTGTCAGCTAGCCGTTTTATATCCCATGTTATACGACGAAGCGGATGTCAATGTTGCTCTTTGAAAAGAATTGGCTCACATGTACATGTCCAAAACTTTCGGCAACAATAGATATCAGAAGTTGCGTTGAGATAGTATGGACGCATCGGTGAAATGTGTTGTTCATTCATCCAAGGTAGGTATCGACTACATCGTATTGCTTTGTGATTGCTAACATGAGGTTATTGGAAAGTTGTGACTCACCTCATGTGTGCGCATTGTGTTGATCCTTACTATTAGCGCTTAGCACGTAGCCAAACATCGCGTTGAAACTGTATACTCCGTGTGGATAGGAGAAGTCTTCCAGTGTGGTTGAGTCTACGCAACCACATATTCTTGACATATTCACTCCTTGTTGACAGGATCGTACAGTTTAAATAATGAATATTATTCATCGACCTGCGCAACTGGACATGAACGGAACAGATCAAGTTTGAAGCAGCAAGCAGCTGCCAGAGTCAAATCTAGCTGGGAAAAAGGGTCAAGAGCTGGATCGGAAACCATACTACTTGATTGCAATTGTAATTGAGTGTCAATCCATTCATCGCGCCACGGTAATCTCAATTTTTTCCCAATGGTGGTGTTGACGGGGCCCGGGTACATGATGCCTAAGGGATACATCAGCCAGCGACTCTCAAAGGTAAGGAATGCTGGTGCTCACTTGTTCCACAGATGTGGTATCAAATCCTGCATCGACCACAACTGGTAAACGGGTCGCTTCGGACACATTTTGCACATGAACTGGCAAGGCGGTTCCAGTGCGTAGTGGAATGGCTTCCGTGAAGCATATCCCCGCGGCTGGGGGTGGAACTGGTGCTTGTACGCGATGACATCTTTGCCAATGACTGGCCACTCCATGTTGTGACTACAGCGATGGAATGCTGATTTAGATCGAGGGGCAAAAGATCAGAGAAGAACTAACATTTCTTTGACGTGAGACTTCGCACATGGAAGGGAAACACTCTTTCCAAAGTGTTCCGGGCAGTGGTTGCAGCCCCAGGCGGTTGCATCGGCAGGGGGAAAGATGGGCTCATGCTCTTTGACAAACTGTGTCGCTTCTGGTGTAAGAAGCTGCCAAAAGTATACTGATTCTATCGTTGCATGTGCAATCTATAGAGCTGTCAATAGCTGAGATGATGGACCCCAAAGAAAACCTACACATTCCGTCCACTTAAGTGCTTTCCGACCTCGAACGCCTCGCACAGACGAGATGGGGCATGCTTCACAGAAAAAGCGGGCATCAATCAGGTCAAGATGTTCTGGTGTCGTTGTCGCGGGATCAAGCTCCAAACAGCGTATGAGAGAACATACAGCAGAGTAGCCGACCGAGTTAAACCGTAGATTCATATGGCAAAGTCTATCATAACTTGGACGACTATTGCTCATGTGTGGACAAATGTTTGTCCAGCCGCAGAGTGCCACACCACATAGCTGACTGTCCAAGCATACCCTGCAAAAGAAAACGGATGTTGCCTGACTTACCCGAGCACGCGAGTCCATGGGGGGGCTGACGTGTTCAGTCTCTTCGGGCAGCAGTGAAGCCAGATGTGCGATCTGTGAGTTCATAAACTCTGAAATAAGCCGAGGAAAACGAGCTAACGCGGTTTCCCTCGAGAGCTCAGCCATAGGATCAGCATCGGAGGAGAGGAAATCACTGAATAGACTGTCTCTAGAAATTTGGTGAAGAGGTGGGACATATGCCCACTGTTCTGGCTTCAGCGTCATGCGATACTCCGTATAATATGACTTGACGACATTTTGACGTTCCCAAGACAATCTCTTCATTTTCTTTCTGTACACCATCGATTCAATATCGGGCTTGATTTCACGGTAGACTGGAAGAATAGATCATTGGAAATTGGAAGGCAATGGCATGGTAAGGTGTTTACCCTTGCCCGTAACTCGTATGATACGCCTAGCTCTGAACAACCCACAAAGGACAAGCCGTTCAGCAGCAATTGTATCACGTAAATCATGTCCAGTGTTCACAAGTCGGGTCAGGCATCTGCGTTTAGGTATCTGAGCATATCAAAATCATTACAACGGGCATAGCCGCTTACCTCTTTAGTGATTCCCGTTGTAAGCGCCCCTGGTCACAGAAAATCTCAACATAAACGCCTTGCGCCCATGTGTTGGCTTTTCGCACACTCTACTCCAATGAGAAATGGTTGCAAAGTTTACAAAAGTACGCACAATGTTATTCTCATCACATTTTTCTGCAGTGTCAATTAAGAACGTTTGATAGTTTTCGGCAGCGCCTGGTACCTCCGCGTCGATGTCGGCCAGAAACCGCTTGACCTCGTCGACTTTTGCCTTGACATCCTTTCTCAAATATCGAGCATAGCGTCCCTCCATGTGTTCAAGCGCCGGGTTGTCAGTATAATAGGTCGTGCTTCCTATTTAGATTGAGCCTTCTCATCTCATGAGAACTGGCTCACTTACCGTGACGGAATGATTTTGGAACCAGTGACCAAACAATGAAAAGCTTGTCGTCGGGATCGTCTGGTACGATGTACAACATGTCGCGTCGATGCACCACGTGAATATTCTAATGGAAAGAGGGGTCAAGCACAAATAACCACAGACCACGCACTACTAACTATGCATACACAACATAGCCGTTTCCGAAAGGCAAAGTCAGCGAGGGCCCCATGATTCCCACAAATCTGTTGGCGCAGTAGTGTTGATATGAGCTGGATCCCGCTCAGAATTTAAGGCGCAGGAGGCTACTCACATCACAAGTGTCTGGACCGAATAATAAAGATGACCATTGTGGCTCTGATACGTCTTCGGGGCAAGTTGGCAAATCGTCGTACAGACGGAAAGCACTTTTCCACACCCCTCTGTATGTTTGATTCAGAATCACGCCTCTGAATGTTTTGGTAGATTGCACCAGGTGATACAGATCCACAGGGTGTAGCCACCCAAATATCTGGACGAAAGGTAAGGAAGAGTCCGAACACGGAACGAACAGGCTTACCCCGTACAGGACATCAGTCGGCAACATAAAAAACCTATTCAAATCCAACTGTTCGCATCCTGTGTGTGTTCTGTGCTTCTTCAATCTTAACTGCTTCATGATCCAGCCGGTCATGTAATTTGCTTCAGATGCGTGATTAACAATGCAGGCCCGTAAAGACAAGTGAGATTGTCGAACCATGGAAGTATGGGCTATATGGCGCCCTCTTGGGCACATCTGACCGGCCTTCTAGTATGTCGTCTACTCCCACTCCTTCAAATGGAACATCTTGGTAAGGCTCGGCCAGCAAGTCGCTGGGAATGTTGACCAGATTCAAGGTGGCAAGATCTTGTTCGTCCATTGGAGTTTTCAATCAATCCCAAGAGAGTTTGTGGAAAGAAAGACTTGACTGTTCCCAGTCATGATGCGCGCACGGATGCCATCGTGCAGGACACGATGACAGCGGATCAACGTTCGATCAACATTGAGTCAATGACAAGAGACGCGAAGTTGTTTGGTTTCAAGGTGTTGCCAATCTCAGGCTAGTCTCTCGTAGACAGACTTCGATATATGTGAAGTCGTACCTTGGTTCACGATATATTTGCCAATCAGCAAATATTCCGAATTGTCGCTTTTATTTTTGTCTCATTTAGATCGGTTCAATGGTTGAGGTTGAGCAAGACGAAAAGTCGGGTTGAATTATGTCAAAAATATGCATACAGAAGACTACATATGTGCTGAAACGCTAGTGTACAATGAGTATGTGTATGTTCCAAAATAAAAACGTTGCAGAATCCGGATCATTCGAAAGTTGATTGAAGGGACAGCTTGGAGGGAATTGTCGAGGCGAATGGGTTTTCCTTTCCCGCCGAGTCTTTATGGGGCCTAGTCTTCTTTCTTTTGGGCCTTGGGGAGTCATCAGGTGGACCTGTTGAAGTTCGCTTTTCAGGGGTCGTAAGAGGTTGCAGCGTAGGCTGAGTCGTTTCTTCCGGGAGGGCCTCCACAGCTTTGATAGCGACATCGATGTATCCGAGAACTTCAGCGTAGTGCAATTCTGATTGCGGCATCGGGGCCATAAGAGACCCTCGTGGTGCATTCCGCGAGTGCAACTTTTTATCGACCTGACCTTTGAGAAATTGGCGCAAACTGTTGAGGAGATCGAGGAAGATATCACCGAAGTAGGCGGAGATTGGGGTGTCTTTGTCGAAAGAGACTGAGAGGGTTAAATACTTCTCACTCGATGAAAATTTGGGGTTGTCGTCTTCCCACCCTGTCAGGGCGGGGGGGAGTGCTCCCACAGCCGTCTAGCCTTCTCATAAGTGCAACAAATCCAATAAAGAACGTAGAAGAAGGATTCCAGATCGTCGAGATAATCGTGAGTAGCAGCCGTGGTTCCAAAGAATGCACTTCTCAGAACCATCACGGATTGAAATGCACGCGTTCCCTAATTCACCGCATCAGATATGGTAACTAGAAAGTTGAAGATAAACAACACGAACAGTGCGGAAATCAGCGCCGGCCAGGCTGCTCGTACGATCGATCCAAATCCCCATGTCCAAATCTATCAGAAGACCGCGGTTACCAGGTTCGGCGCCTTCATTCCCAAGTAGAATATTGTTGATGCTAATGTCGCGATGTAAGATATTTTTTCTCCACAAGTTTTGATGACCTGGACAAAAAAGAAGAGCTGTCAACGAAGAGAGCTATGTAGATACTCCAGGCTTACCAGCAATAGCATCACGAAAGGCATACAGCAGCTGAAGCCGCGCCTCGAACCTGTCTATAGGCTCCCCGTAGGCTTGAAGTGTCGTCCGAGAGAATATCCTGTCATGGAACGCGGGGTTTGGCTCATCAACAAAGCTCGACATGTCAATCCCCCTGTGCTTGGCCGTGGTATATTTGGTCTCCTCGTGAGCGATCATTTGCCCAACCCCAGCCAAACCCTTGGCTTCCTCCAGAAACTGCCATTCCGGCGTCCGATCTTTCGACCGCCAGGCTTCTTTGACGAGACGTTTCTCGCCGTCTGGGCCGGTGACCGCATGGCATTGAGTGCCTCGACCGCGAATCGCACGCCGCCAGAAAAGAGGTTTTGCAGACGTCAGGTTGTACCGGATTTTTATTCCGTTTTCATCTAGCGTATAGAGAACTCGGCATTTTCCTTCCCATTTGACATTGGGATCGAACCCGACTTTCTCTGCATCAGGGGAAGCGACACCGAGCATGATACGAACAAAATGAGACGGATTGTCGTGTATATTGATGAGAGCGGAGTATTGGACGCCGCTTCGATCGAATTGATAGAGTCGAACGCGTTTTTCGGTCAGAATGACGGCGTAAACAAAAATCTGTTTTGTTGTTGGATGAAACATTGACTGAGAATGAGGAAATGAGCACCACAGCGATCATCTCACAAAATTAAAAAACTGACCGAGCGTAAACGGCGAGCTGGACCAGATGGTCCAAAAATTTTGACTCCAACCCATCCTTCTCTGTTTTGATATCCACAAGTGCAGCGCAAGACTTATAGGGAAATTTTTCTTCTTATCGCCACCGGGAACGTAGTCTTCTGTATCAGTTGATTCCGTTGGTGGGAACGCTGACGACTTGTGGCCTTGAACCATGAAGTCTGGCGAAGACTTCAGCTTGGTGTTATTTGTGCCCTCTACATGAGATGCTTGGATGGCATAGCTCTTTAGAACCCAACGGGTGCGTTCCACCTTCGCGTGCTTGAGCAGGCCCGTGAAATTTTTGTAGTACGGCGCGTACAACTCGCACTCTTTGTCGACCGCTTCAGGAATTCCCACCCATCGATTTTCACTGTAAAGATTGGCGTCGTTGAGAACTTTTGTGATAGAATCTTGAGAGAGGTCGCTGCGAAACGCGTTATCGGCAAAGTGGTGACCACCGTCATAGATATGTGACTTCAGTTCAGCCTCAATAAAGGGCCTTTGTTTTTCGACTAACTCGTAACCTTCGTCCGTTCCGTGCGAAGTAGGTCCCATAGGTGTGTCGTCGACTGAGGGTTTATGATTATGATTCCGCTGCGGAGTAACGGGAGCAGCTTCAGAGGCTTGAAAAGCCTCGCTGGCAGCTGTGGAAGATGTGGGAGATAATGGGCTCGAAAGATCAGGTTGTGCGTCCTGATGTTTCTTCTGCGGAGTAATGGGTGCTTCAGGCACTAGATCAGCCTGACTAGCGGGTGGCGACGAGAGGGGCAATAATGGACAATCGGATTGTGCGTCCTGAGATCGCGAGGGTTTGGTCGGCGTCGCAGGGGGTGAAGACAACGGCGACGAAGGCGCAACTGTGTTTTGTGAAAAAGTGCTGGTGAGCTTCGCCATTGCGAGTATTGGAATAGAGAATAAACTGAACTTACATTACTTGAAGCTGCGTTATATATCAAGGCTAAAAATCAAGGCCACAATTCGAGGCCATCGCCCACTGGCCACATTTGCAGAACAATTGGGCGCGTCGTGTTGTTTGAGCATTAGCACCTCGCCAAACATCGCGTTGCGTATAGACTTTGGATAATGAGCGACAGGTTTGTCGACTCACATGCAAAGACGAAGAGCAAATCTCATAGCGACTCATATTTACATGCAACGATTAAACACAGGCAATAAACAGAAACAGAAGAGGATAAAAGACGCAGTCGCAACAAATCGACATAATTTTTTCAGACACAGCAAAACCGCTCAGTACCTCCTATCATCGTACCTTCCCCCCCTGTCGTCCCTGTAACGATCGCGGTCGCGGTGGTCTCTGTCATAGTCCCTGTGTCGGTCGTGATCCCTGAAACTGCCGCCGCCGCCGCCACGGTGGTCATCGTAACGTCCACCACGTCCGCCTCGTCCACCACGGTCGTCGTATTCACGGTAGCGGCTGTCGTACGGCCTAGGATCGTAAGGTCGCTCAACTGTATCGGCTGGAGGCCTCAGCTAATGATAGAAACAAAAAACCAAGGTGTGCTCACAGTCGCCTCTCTTGGGTGGTCCATAGTATCGTCCGGGCGTCGGGGTCCTTGCACGTCCGCGGCGAGCCTGTGATGATACTCAGCGAAGGCATAGAAGAGGGGCATAACTAAAATTCACCTTTTCAACATTCATCACTTTCCCCATGAGATCCGTTGCATTCAGGGCCGTGACGGCAGCTTCAGCTTCTTCCGCTGTCTCCATCGTGACGAACCCGAACCCACGAGACTCGCGGGTGTGGGGATCATACATGACAGAGGCCTTCTTGACCTAAAGGCAGATATTTAGCAATAGACCGTAGTGAGCGATGAAGAAGCCACGGCAAGACAACGACACCGCGGGCCGACAACATTGCACCCCAGGAAAAGATGAGTAAGGAAACAGACACTCACCCGTCCAATTTTTGCAAAGGCAGCTTCGAGGTCTCGGGTGTCAACCTTATGACTGAGTCCAGAAACGTGAAGATTATTTCCGGGATTTTGACCACCATCGCTGGCACGACTAATCCATTGTGTTCAATAACGTAGAAAGTGACGTGAACAGTCTGCAAAGCGCCCAAAAAAGCAACAAGTCACTGACCTTCCTCGATCATCCCTCGGAGGTCCAGGGCTCCTGCTCCTGCTAGACCTCCTGGGAGGTGGGTCCCTTAAAGGCGAGCGGCCAGCATTGCCATTGGTGGACCAGTCTTCGGCAGACATAGGTGCCGCACCCAAACCCGCTTCATGGGTCGGAATGCTTATGCCAGTAGGCGCGATGTCTGATTGCCAGGCTGAAGGGTTAAGTGAAGCGAAAAAAACGTCAGGGCGGGTTGGGTTGCAAAAGATACTGATTGGGCAGAGGAATGACGAGGGCTGACGACAAAGTGTGCTGTGTAACCGGCGGGGTTGAACTGAAATTTGAAAAAGCCGCCGTCACGGTCGTCCATGCGAACAAGTGAAAGGAATGGAGCTCATGAATGAGTCCATTCCCCACACACATTGCCAAGCAACATTACTTGTCTCTTTTTTTTTTTTTTCGACGTGGCGTATGCCGCATGTCGGCCGTTAGCCAACGAAGAACTGAGGAAAGTCATGGTGTTGAATAACCGTGGACAGGTATGATACTGAAACTGCTCGGCCTGGCGGCGGTGGGAAGAAGAAAAGATCGACTGAAGGGCTCGATGTCGTCGTGGCTGATGCTGGGAACGTACCGTCATCCATTGTTCTTCGTTGTCGTTGTTGCTGGCGGTGATGATGGTGGTGAGTTGAAGAAACGCAAGTCACAAAGCTGTTACATTCCGTTGGCAAGCACGACCAACCATGTCACCGCCACAACTGAGCGCCGCATTTTCAAAATTGCGTTGCAAAATAGCACCGATGTACAGTCAGCCTGAGTGACGTGAACACGTTCTTATAGACGTATTACTACAATCGCTATGTCTTTGTGAAAATTCTCGGTCTACTCAAAAATTACGAGTCTTGTGGGTGCGAATCATACTATCAGACACACCAACTTGACAAAAATCGACAACATATATGATTTCAAGTTCTATGTGACAAGTGATATGCGACAACAGGACAGGGTAGTATGCAAAAGACAGTGAGGTAGAAAAATGACAACGTCTGAAAGACGGTACAAAACAGGTTGATTACACGGCGTGAGCTCGAAGAGTCCGCAGCGGATGAGGAGGGATATGATAATTGATGATGAGAGTTTGACGATGAGGGTGAGGATGGGGATGCTGGCAATGCTGATGAAGGGAGTGCAGGATAGAAGAAGGATAAAATGATCGATAAAATGCGGTTGAGAATATAAGAAAGAAAAGAAGCCGAAAGAAATAATGTAAATGCAGGATGATGTTTTTATGTATAAGGAAGCATAGAAGTTATGTATAAGCGACGAATGGAAAATATGGATACTTGCGTGAAATTAGAAACAAGACTTGCAATGGTTTGATGATAAAGAAAGTTCGAGGATGGATATGCGTCTGTGCGAGATATTCCGAGAGTGCAATGGATTGTTGATGATGTTCGTGAACTGATGCATTGGATACCTTTTGGGACAATGGCGATGATGTTGCTTGTGATGAAGGTCCGATGGGGGGAGGATATAATTTTGCAAGCGGCCACATTGATAGGGTTGAGATAAGTCCAGGACATTTGAGATCTTCAAGCTGGCTGGTTCATGGTCCGAAAGAGAGCAGCCAAAGGACAGGTCGTGAGGTGAACCACACAATCTTCAATAGCCGTAGTAGGCGCGCTAGGTAAGAGTCAATAAGAGCCTAATTGACAAGATTCGGAGGCCGAACCATTCTGTCGCTACACAAAGATTGACGGTGTTCAGCGAGAGTGGGGGATCAGAGGGTATCCAGACGTACAACAGCCAAATAACCTTGGAACCAGTCTTGCAGCCACGTAAGGTGACGATGTGGCCGCGAATACACTCGTAAAGGAGCGCTCGCTGATCCTTGTCCGCCTGTCAAGATCACGATTCAGCCTCATGAGGAAAACTGAAGAGATCAAGGGACACACAGTAGGCAGGACGCTGGCGATCAACTGACTTCCTGTAACAGAGAGGGCTAGGTCGACGATCATGGCTCGACGCGCACTGGGCGTATAAGTGGGGTACAATCAGCACAACTGCCCAAAGCGGAGCCGACGATCTCAGTAACTTACCCTTTTGCTGGTTCGCACATACGCTTTACAACCTTATCCAAAGTATCCTTGCCACCTTCCTTGAGAGCCTTCGTTACCGATTTTGCACCTTGCTCGCTTGTAGCGAATTCCAGGAGACCATCCAGGAGGTGATCCAGTGTCATGCGACGATGCTTATCAGACCCATGTTCCAGGACTATCAGCCAGGGAATGAGGGGTGGTAAACATTTAGACGGCAAGAAAGATGACTGACTATGCTGTACGCAATAGGAACCCCACTGGTTCTTGGTAACTTCGCTGAAAACCGCCGGTCCTTGGTTCAGCAGCTCGTCAACAATTCCATCCTTGGCTTCAGCCTCAAGATTTTCGAACGCATGCTAACAAGGTGCGCAGTGATCAGATCATACAACGTCGATAAAACAATGACGGCTTACCTGCACGACGAGGGAGCCAGTCTCATGACAGGCAAGCGAAGCCCATTTGCCCTTCAGGGACCTGTTGACGCTGTATCGAAATATCGATGAGCTTCGGCAACGTACTTTGCAGGCCGAACTTACTATGCAAAGATGGGCGGGGCAGGGGCCGTCCACGACAATTCCATGATCTGAAATAGGCATGAGATGAAATCAAGATTCGCAAAATTTGAGTGGCTTACCTTGCTCCAGACGTGGGAGGCATGCTTGTTCACGAGCGTTTGTGCTGGATCTCCGAGAAGCAGCTCGGAGACGATCAACAAACGAATATCCTCTTCACAGTCGAGCGCCTTCTGCAATACGTGACAGCCATAGCAGTTGGTGGCCAGATCCACGATACGGCCTCTGAATAACGTTGTGAGGAAAGGAGTGTGAAAGCGTAGAAGCGGCTTACCTCATGCACGACACTATCTTTCGGCGTTCTTCAGCAGTCGCTGCCGCTTCAAGGCACCGCTGGACTGCCCAGTTGCCGAAGCTATCAGAGACAGTGATCAGCCCCGCAGCAAACAGTGAAATGATGTAGTCGACACCTACCGATGAGCCATCATTTCGAACCCTCTGGCACATATAGCATCGACAATCTTGGCACGTTCTTCGACGTCAGCGACCTTGAGCTTTTGTTGAAGAAAGATGGACGCCTGTTGGTCCGACGATTTGATGATGCGTGCGACGAAGACATGATAAGGAGGAGACGACGAAGGATGTAAGAGGGAGAGAAAGTTAATTGGCTGGAACAGGACAAAATGCGCATATATGATTACTTTTGGCTTGGAGAAAGACAAGAAAATGACGCACCTCATGCGAAGACTGGAATGCTTGAGAAGCCGTCGACTGCTGGTAGCTGAACGATGAGCGGAGAGAATCTTCTTGAGCATTGATACCAAAGTTTTTTTCACAGGCGAGGCGCCAGTCAGGGTGAGTAGACGCCGGCTGTTGTTGAAGCTGCTGCGTTAAGCGCCAATCCATAGGTGAGGGCCTAGCCGATTCCATGCGACGAGGAGGTAAAGGTGAGCTGTAGAGAGAATGAGGGAGCGACGTAGGGGATGCTGGGTGGTACTGAGTATGAACAGAGTTAATTGGAGCAGGGGTAGGTGGCTCAGTGAATGGTTCAAAGAAAGGAAAAGCATTGGAGGGCTGATTGGAATGAGAGAAGTGTGGGTAAGAAGGAGAATGAGCGACAAGCGTATCCTGATGCTTTCCGGGAGAACCGTTCTCGAAAAGCAAGGAAGATTGAGAGAAATAAGGTTGGTGTTGTCCGTGTTCATACTGAGCAGGAAATTTCAACTCAAAAGAGCGGACAGGAGAAAGATCGGTGGGTGTCAAAAGAGCGGAGGATACGGAAGCAGGAGAAAAATCAGGAGAGCTTGGAAATGTATCGACATTCAAGTCGATGGCTGGCTTTTGAGGAGGCGGTGCAGGAGAATTGAGGTTCAAAGTACGGAGTAGTTGTTCAACATGCTGCGATTGATAGATCAGATAAGTCTGACGAGAAAAAAAAGGAAAAAAGCGCATACAGCGTCCTCGCAATCCAGGGCGTTCCTGATCCTACCATCTCCGATGGCACCGATTTCTCTGGAACCAGAATTGGAGGTTGGAGGAGCTCCAAAAACGTCCTCCCGACTGACGATCGGTAAATTGGTTGCAGTGCGAGAATCTAAGCGCAAAAGCTGCTCAGAATCTCTCTCTGCAACGCGTGAAAAGGAGTCCAATGCTTTTGGCCACGTCGCTACCGATGGCTGTGGTTGTGGAGCCCAAATCGAACCAGAAAGACCAGAGGGCTGTCGAGCGCGAACCTGGGGCGGAGTCGGGCCATAGAGAGAGAGAAAGTGCTGGGAACTGTCGGTGGGATGGAGCATAATATGGAGTGAACGGGAGATTGTTGTGGTAGAGAGCAAGAGACGACAGGCGAGAAAACAGAATTTTTATACGCAGCGTCGGTGACACCTTCTGTGAAGTAAGTCATCAAATCACATTCCCCATCTAGGCAAATCCTTTCCAAAACGGGTCAATCGATGGCGATTGCCGCCATTGGGGGAAATTATTCCAAAACATTCACGATTTCACAAGCCAGGCCACTACTAGGACGCAAGCAGAAGACATGATCAAGTCTAATGCAAGTCAATCATGTCAACTGGAATTGTCTTGAAAAGTGACAATCACTCAGAAACGACGTCTTCTCGCGCGGGCCGGGGGGCTTTCTGGCGCACTGGAGGGAGAGTCTGGGGAAGCCGTCACTCTGGCGGTTGCGAAAAACCGAGGTGTTTTGTTGTATTGAACTTCTCGTGCGTGCGCCATGTTGCAAAAGAATTTATAATGAATTGATTAGGACGGACTGTCTTTAGCATATAATGAGCTTTTGACAATGAATAGATCATCTCTGCGCATATATAGGCTAGTTCAAGCACCTCGCAGGGTCGTTTGACCGTGGGGTAGGTTCGCGAGTGGGTGCCTTCAAGCTTGATTAACCATCAACTTCTCGGAGCAAGTCCGGCGAAACCAACCGCCATCTGTGAAGTCGTCTATTGACTTTAGAATCCGTTTGACTGGATCTGTGTGTGCTAGAAGGGAGCGGTATAGTCAACAATTAAGCCAAATGAAAGGAAACGGCAACAACCCACAAATCTTCAATGGAACGGCCAGAACGAATCGCCAGCGATGACGAGTGTCCCAAAAGTTGACGCCAACCTCCAGCATTGACGCAACAACTCTTACAATCTTGGTAGATCTCCTAATCGTATCGTTGAGAAAGGATCTGACGCTGAGTTATCGTGTTTTCGTTAGATGAATTCATGATGAAGAACGCAGGGCAAGAGCACGCCAAAGGCGTGAGTCGTCTGGACATTGTAGAACACCACGTCAGTGATAGGCCTCTGCGGTCCGATGCTCCATGCACATCGACTCGTGTAAACCCGCATCCGATTATCCTGGAATTGATGTAGGCTGGGGTGCAGAGTCCAAGACTATTATCAAACTATTATTGTATGACGTCCTAATCGCTGTGAGACAGGGGAAGCCGTCACTTGAGCGTCAATGGCCTATAGACAATTACCGGACACCAGAGCATGAAGGAAACAAAGGGTCTCAACCTCGAAAAGGATTTCCGTCTGGGGATCTCCCAAGCCTGAGTGCCGACGTGAAGATTGAGGCAACCACCAGGAGATCCAAGTGTAACGAGGATCTCGATCTTCAAGGGTCAGAGAGGCTCCGGTCTGGCAGCCCAGACGCACAGGGCCTTCCAACCGATAATCATGGAATCCGGAACGACTTGCATGCGTACTAGAAACTGGGGGTAGGGAAACCAGAATGAAAGGGCGAACAGGGTAGCAGAACCCCAAGCCAGTGGCGCCTCCACGATATCGATGGTTCCGCTTATGAGCAAACTCGCGGATATGATCGAGCTCATGGCAGTGGAGCTCTAAGGCCCATAGTGCAGGGAGGCGACGTCGAGCACTAGGAGACTATATTAAATTTGCCAAATCGAGGTCTCGGCAGGAAGGAAAATCTGGGGGTGAATGTGAAATATCTGCACACGAGAATGACACGCGACATCTGGGGAGGAGGGGCCGTTCAACACCATAAGTTGTACAAGGAAGGGTCAAAGAGGAGACACTTACCCGACTCAAATGTGACGAAGATGTTCAGGCCTGAAAGGGCTTTCTAGATCTGTCAAAGAGCTTACGGCACGCTTGTAATAATGCGCAGCAGAGGTCATGACCAATGATCCTGTAACAGAATGTGTGCGAACCCGGTGAGCGTCCAAGCTCGTTTTACTTGTCCATTATGCCTGTTACAACCCTAGAATGAAACTTCGGCTTGTAGGTAGTGGGGTGGGAGGACTTGCGCGTCATGACATGCCAGCGGCACGCTAACGTTAATCCTTGGATGTCCGCCAGGATGTTGTACATATCCCCAGGAAAAAATTAAACCCGTTACGATAGGATCGCATGCTGCTCAAGGTTCACGGCACTGTTCACAGGCTGAAGACGCCGTCGTGAAACCACGCCGCGCTCGAAGATGAAATATGCGCCCACTGTCACCGTGTTATGTAACCTGACGTGTGGATTGTCAGAGTGTGATGTTAAATGGGTATGTAGGTCAAATAAGCTCAGTACCATCACCCGATGGCCCTTGTATAGGGCGTCCGTGCATTCAATTGTTCGGCGGGTAGTTAAGGTATAACCTTCTTCAAAGGGCCCACAAAGCGAAGACTGAAAGTTGTCCTCGATTATGATGGGTACGGCGCTCACTGGATCAATTGAACGGCGGCAAGAGATCACTGTAAAGTATACTTTCGGCGTTAAATCCGTCTGGTCTGGATCATCGTTCTTAAACGCTCCTGGATGTAGATCAAGATGATAGAAGCCAAGAAACTTTTCTGTAAGCGTAATCGCGGAGGTGTTGAAGGTGCGGTGGGGAGCAAGCAAGGGGTGTGCATACTGACTTGTCTGAACCTCGCAGGCTCGGATGGACATAAAATTCGTCGTGTACGAATGGAGAGACCAGGCGCTTCACTGCCAAATGAACGTGCGCCTCATGACTCCGTCAAGTGCGGGGGGAAAAGGATTAAGCTTCGTATCAATATCTCTTGGCTTGAGTGAGTGCCGAAGCTAGACTGATGAAAGACGTCGACGGAGACAACAGCTATGTTTGTAAGAACGCGCGTCAGTCAGACAAAGAAATTTCTCACCACGTTCGACCCTGTTCTATCGAATGACGACTGCTATCCTGGTTTGAAGTCTTTAGGGTCACATTGTAATGCATACAGTCGAAATAAAGCCGTCCACAAAGTAAAGCATCTAGTTTGGTGACGAGAGGGCTAGAACAGCGGCGGTTAAGTTAACTACCAATAGTTGGTTACAAATAAGCTGAAATAACTTACTTAGCTGCATGATAGCGGCTTCGTAAGCTAGTTCAGGACCGACTGTTCCCTACAGAAAATAATTGATATCATTCGTCCTAAAGTGGGGAGAAAGTGTTATCCGTCAGTTTTGACATGCCGAAGCGTGTCGCATACATCGGCACGAACAAATGTCAACTTCTTGCGGAGTATCCGAATCAGTGGGAACATCAGAGGTGCGAAGGCTTGGAACTTGTAAGGGCGAAATCGTCATAGCCGTTAGCCCTGTAAGTAGTAGTGAAAGGAAGGTTGCGTAAAGAATCAGTAAGTAGTAGTACATTCAAGATGTCGGGCCACGCACGGAAATTAATACCGTAAGCGCGGTACTTTCATGCCTCATCAAACAACGGAAGACAACGGAAACACCACAAGGGGCTTGAAAAACTGAAGTTTCGACGTGAGAGAGATGCGGAGCAACGAATGGGTCCTTACCGTATTGGCATGTTTGTATACAATGCGCTGCACCAACGCTTAACACGATGTCGCGCAGCAGAAGGAAAAGCGTTCCTGGAGCTCGGAAAAAGATGCTAAGGCTTGCTGGCAATGGCCGACAGCAAGGAGGGGATGGGGAAGGCCAGAGGGATTTTGATGTCATCCACGCAAAAGACCGATCTTGGACTTGCACTTAGCAACACGCAAGTTCTTGGCAAGTTCGCTGATTCCCTCAGACGTGGAAGTGCACAATAGCAAGTAACAAGCAAGTAAGCCACGTAACGCTCTTCAGCGGAGCAGGTTGCAATGGAATCTGCTTGACAGTGAATCAGACAATAAATTTCTGTCAGATTTTGGTTCGAAACATAGATACAAGTCATTGACAGTCCTCCGAACTTTCGGAGCGTTGTTGCGAGAGACGATGATGATCGAATGAATGGCGTTCTCGGATACTCACCCGCTGCTGACTGTCGTCCATCTAGGAACGTCAGTGGCAGTGAGAGGGTCTTCGTGGTAATTATGAGCCAATTTCTCTTTGTGACTCAGGCGCGTAGGTCAACAAGACCAAATACGGCGGCTGTCTTCCGGCATTTTCCGACGCGTCCAGAAGAGAACGCGCGTCGCGGCAGCCTTTGGTCCAGATGCTCAAGTTGAAAGGTATGTGCGCAACGTTTAGCTGACGGGACAGATGCAGGTATTCTCTGCTCATATTTCGAACGTTTGTTGTTTCACTTAATCGGTTCGATTGCAATTCTGGGATTGAATTTTTCTTTTGACTTGCCAGGGGTACCGACCGGTTGAGGGATAAGTAAGAGGGGTATCAAATTCAAAAGGAACAGGTGCGGTACTTCAACGTCCCGGTATTATAATTTCTATCAACTGTCATTTTAGGTTCGGTGCAATATCATACTCATGCCGTGCATGTCCCTTCAAGTTGAAGTTGTTGAACATCAACAAGCAGTGTCTCCTTACCGTTACCAAGTCCGCGCAATCAAATTCAAGTTGCTTTCTATACTTGAACACATCCCGAATTGATATATATAGCGCGGCCTTTTCAACGGACAAAAAAAATCATGTTTCTGGGATATTGACTTGCCAGGGGCAGCCTTTGGTGAGTAAGTAAGGGGGTATCAAAAGGGTAGGTGCGGTACTTCACCGTCTCGGTATTATAATCTCTATTGACTGTCACTCTAGGTTCGGTGCACTACCATACTCATGCCGTGCATGTCCCTTGAACATCAACAAGTGTCTTCTTACTAAGTTGCTTTCTACACTTGAACACACCCAGAATCGATATAATATAGCGCGGCCTCTTCAACGGACAGAAAGAATTATGTTGCAGGGATATAATTTTCTTTTTACTTGCACGGGGTGCTACTGACTGGTTGGAGAATGACTAAGGAGGTATCAAGAGGGCAGGTGCGGTACTTCAACGTCTCGGCATTTTATTGATTGTCACTTTAAGTTATCATACTGCATGCGTCCGTCATATTAGAGGGACTAATTGAACGTACCAAGTCCGCGCAATCGAATTCAAGTTGGGTGACTTCCATTTTATACTTTCACAATTATTATAGCGCAGCCTCTTCAATGGACTATGTTAGTCTCTCCTAGACAGACTTCGATATATGTGAAGTCGTACCTTGGTTCACGATATATGAAGTCTGTTATTTACCACGCCCTCCAAACCGCGTCAGAAAATGCTTATGTAAAGTGCGGACTTTGAAACCGCGTCGCGTCAATATTGTGTCGTTGCCGTTTGCTCTCAACGTGATAACTCATGCATTTCTACTCTAATACACGATCACACTTCAACAAAATTCTGCACGAGAACGTAATCTAGCCAAGCAACGCGAAAAAGGCAGGCCGCAAGAGCTCTCGACGATGACGACGTTGGCTTGACGTTGGCCCAATCTTATCCGACCCGGGTCCTGAAGAAACGGTTCACGAACTTCCCAAACAACAACTCGATGAATTCCCAGACCGAAGGCGCCAAGCTCTTGAAGATACGACGAACACCACAATGCGGCGACGACGAGCTCCTAGAGCCACTCAGCTCAGTGTTGCCGAAGTCCTTCGAGACTATGGTCCGCAGTACCGCAGCCGCGAAATGCTGTTGTAGAAGGATCATTTGGGTAGTGGAAAAGAGACGGGAGGTCTGAGGGGATCGAAAAGAAAGTAATAATCATTGCCTACTTTAGACAGCGTTATGCTACTCCAAATTATATGTATAATCTTCTTCGTCGACACCGTTATTACCATCAGAAAGAGCTCCGTAGTCCTCAAAGCCATTGTCATCGTCACTCGAGTTTTCTTCGCCCTCTCCACAAGCTTCTGCGCGTCGCTTTGCGGAAGTTGGATGAGTTGAGGTTGGCTCAGAGATCCACCAAGGGAGCCAAGATTGTTGAATGGAGAGCCAAAAAATAAAGGTGTAGTATATGACGACCCATGTTGGTCATTTCGAGATGTCGGAAGAAGAGAACTCGATGGAGATGGCAGGAAGGGTGTGATAAACGCCGGAGTTTCGGGTATTTCACGGATTGGTTCTAATTTCTTGAAGGATCTGACAATTTGAACATTGTTATCCGTTGAGGTTGAGGTTGTCATCTAATACGAATGGAATTTGTGGTGGTAGATGGTGTTACAAAGGTTTAAACGCGTCCTCTCAATATTGACGCGACGCGGTTTCAAAGTCCGCACTTTACATAAGCATTTTCTGACGCGGTTTTGGGGGCGCGGTAAAAACAGGACTAGGACTATGTCCCCTGATGAAAACTGTGGTAATTCTTGGGACGGTCGCGCTATGTACCGGGCAAGAAGTCCGCCTCGGTAAGGCTCCAGACATCAGTTAAATAACCGCTGTAAGTATCTAGAGTGCGGTGATTAACCCAGGAAGATAGGGCACGCTGCAAGGCGCAGCAACACGCACGCACATTTCAGACCTGATTTGGATCCTCAAGTGTCATTCAGCCTTTAGGTTCATGGCTGTCGTTGTACGGTCACACTCAAGAGCCATCTATGCTCTTCATTTGACGATGTTCGCCGTCATGTCAAGACAGCTGACCGCGGTGCAACGGCTGACTCCCCAAATCAGTTGCCCAACATTGAAATAATCTTCTTAAACGCCGTCCTACGGTCGCACTTTTCTTCTTCCAGGCTGTATACAGCGTGCCGCAGGAATGGGAAAACTTGAGGCCCACCTCACTTACCATCTCCTCCAGTCACGCGAGTGCTGCGTATGACGCAGAGTTAAGTAAACCGGCATCGAACGAATCACACAACTCCAGCATCAACTCCAACGGACGTTTCATTCCATCTAAATCAATCAGACAACCTGGTACCGCCGCATCGCTGAAATATATCTGTCCAAGATGGAGTAGTGCTTCTGACCCAAAGGCTAGGCTGGGGATGTCAGTCAAAGTCCCACTCCCTAGCAATGAATACGCCCAATCACGGCGATCACTCATGCACGGGGGAGGTATTATAATCACCAGTCATACGTATACCATCAACGCGAAGGTCAGTCCATCTGATACGAAGACGATATGCGAACAGTTACGTTCTAGTCCTTTGTGACCTTCCTCAGTGCTCGGTCCGGGTTGGAGGTGGATAACTTGATCACCCATAGATAACATGTGAACATTGCGCAGTGTGCAACTTGAGAAGAATCTCTTCGTAGAGATATGAATTTGGGAACTTCCCAGCAGTGTCATGGATGTCTAAATGTAGGGGTTTTAGGATCGTCGCTGAGGCGGAAGGGGAGAATGGTCGCACGCTGGCACGGACCTTTGTCCTCGCTTGCAAGTACTCGCTGGGTTGAATGCGTCAGCGCTGACGCGCAGGGTCGGACTTGACTTGTTGTTCGTACCGTGCATCAGAACGCTGGAGATTTTGAGCTACTTTGATTTCCGTTCGGCGTCATGACCAATGGTTGGCCCTTCAAAAGAAAGGACTCAGCGAACCTGCCATTAGCGTGATGCGGTTATACTTACACGTCGGTCTAGAATTTATTTAATTAGCGCTCTTGAAAGGAAAGGATTTGGAAAGGATAGGATGAACTCAACGCTAAAAATAGCATAATATGTGTTTATCTTGTCCCTCCAGTCCACGCACTAGACAGGATGTTTGAGCTCCGGCGTGATCCCCGTCGTATTACAAGTCCGCGAAATTGACCTAGCCGTCGTTTTGGGTGAGGTTGCAAATTTGGTGCTACGTGGGAGTTATCCCAGGTCCAAATGTGTGAATTGCTTGATGAGAACAAGATGACTCGAGGGATGAGGAAGTGTTTGAAGGACTGACTGTTCGGTAACTAAAAAGGTGGTTGTAGTCCTTCGAGGTCGAAGTAAATAGGACTGGGTAAGCCTGTAGAGCGCTCAAAACGAAATGTCAGGCCGCAGTAAGAACGGCTAGGAAGGCCTTGGGAATGTCCGTCTTCATGGATGGCGGAACGGTTTGGGAACGGTGTTATCTTATTTGGTAAGAGATCGAACAAGTGATCGCCGATCGATGGCAATCTGCGTAAGAAATCGGCTATCCCGATCTGGAAGACGGAGATGGGCCCATTTAGAAGTCGATCGGAGACGAACTCCGGCTGAACAAAACGTCTACATACGTGAAGAATGCCGCCTTCATTTCATATAAAGCTCAGCGATGTCCTTCAACTGCCGCCTTCCACTCTCCCCCCGCCCCCATGTCCCTGACCACTCTACCAGACGAGGTTCTCAACGATATCGCTTTCGCACTTGTCGCCAGCTCGCCGTTGGGCCCGCCAACCGATCTTATACCGCTACTCTGCACCTCGAAACATCTGAACAGGGCGTTACATTTCAAGAAGAGCACCGGACTATATGCGCGTATCGCGAGGCTCAAGTTCGACTGTAACGCGGTAAAGCGCCGAGCGTTCAAACCATACGCAAAGGACTGCGCTGAACAGCTCGTTCACGCATGTCTTTGTATTCAGTTTTTCCGACGGGGTAACGTTGACGATGACGATGTCGTTGACCACTTGCCGACTGCGTTTATGCTTATGTTGGAAAACGACGGGAAGAATCGCGCGCAGCTGGAATGGGCGGGGATCGAGTCATTTCTCGATCAATTTGTGCGTAGGCGGTTATACGATAATCGCATGACGAACGATGGATGGCCGTTGGAGACCCCCCACAGTTCGTCCGCCCTTTGGTTGACGTGGATGTTTGCTACGAAAGGTCAGTAGTCATCTTGGCTTGTTCTCCACGAATCTGACATTTTCTTTGCCTTCATGTAGAAAAAATCACCTCGCAATCGCCTTACCAACAGACCCAACTCTACCGTATTGTTTCGGCGTTTGCCCTTGTTCCTTTCCGTGTAAGTGCATACTATCTACCCATGCTATTATACTAATATTTTGTCGTTACCGCTTTATAGTACGCCTCGGCTTATGCACCTCCTACCCACTTTGACCTGCCGCTGTCGGCTTCGAATCCAGACCAACAACACGAACTCTTCACCCCCACGCCGCATGGCTCGTACCCCCTCTACCAGCAAGGTGCCCCCGCAAATCAAGTTCATTTCCGGTCTCGGCCGGATTTTGCTGTTGGACCTATATCTATCCCCGCAAAACTGCTTTTCGTTGCGCAACAAGAATCTCACCCATTTTATGCACCTCACGTTCCTCTGGACCGCGCTGATGCAGACCAGCAAGGCAGAATTGGGCCGACAGCAGAAGATCTTCGTGAAGTCAATACGCACCAAGGCGCAAAGTACGTCCGACAGGTCAATTGGGATTGGAATGCTGGAGTTGCGAGATATCTGGATAACGGCAAGGTCGCACCTGAGGACGCTAGTTCGATGTGGGACTGCGATTGGTGGAGAGCGAGGCAATGCGGTGATTTGTGGCAGCCAATGCCAAGGTGGAGGGTTGGCACTGTCTACGTACCTGGCTCGTTGAGCGGTTTGTGGCAAGGAAGATGGGAGGTGAGTACCAACTATCGTTTCAAGTTTGACCGTTCTTTTTTTCTGATGTTACTTTTCAGCTCACTTCGGAGGAGTCTCATGCCAGGCTTCTCGCATCGCCCGCATACCCACCTGCGTTCAGTGGTCAAACCCTCTACGCCATTGCGCAGCCCATGTTCATGCGTCTCACGGAACACCACTACGTCGCCCCTCCCACCATCAGTACCTCCAATCCAAACGCCCCTTCGTCTATTCAACGACTTGCTGGCCCAATTCCGACTCCTAAAGCCGAGCCCGCGATCATCCTCACAGACACCGGGGACCACGAGGAGGTTCCCCTTGACATGAGCATGCAGAACGCATGGATCCCAGGTCGAGAAGGTGGCGTCTCATGGGAGGCGAACGGCCTCAACTCGGGTCTGCGTGATGGCTGGGGAAGGGATCGGTTCCAGGCTACGCCAGAAGACGTGCAAGAGAGGGAAACGATCACTTTTCGTTTGGATTACGATCAACGAGGAGCCGGGTACGTCTATGAGACGTGGGATCGGACGAAGAAGGGCGTGCATGATCTGTATGACGTCTTTGGGCAGTCGGCGGCCTCTGCGGCTGCTGCCTCAGCTTCGTCTTCGTCGAATGCTTCCGTGCACGAACCCCCAAGTTGCGCGCGGTGCAAGAAACGCGCTGCGCTTCTTGCTCGGATGAGGAAGGGTGATTCGGAAGTGGTGGAAAAGATCTTTGAGCGTGTTGGGCTCGGGATGAGTACTGTCGGGAAGCAGTGTTCGAAGCCTTCTGCCAACGACGAGGATGAAGATGATGAAGACGACGACGACGAAATTGACCTGGATACCGTATGGGAGCTTGACGGCTTCAATGTTGACCCCCCTTCCTCAAGTTGCTCGACAGACTGTGGCCAATCATCGCAATCGGAGTGCAGTGCCGACAGCGAGGACGAAGATGACACGGAAATGGAGCCAGAGCTTCGTGGACAACCGAGGGCTCGTAATCCTTACACTGGTCAAGTGTATGAGGCTACTAGGAACATAGCCGACAAGGAATATCTAAGGCCTTGCGATGGAGTTGAGGATGTGCTCCTGACCGGCGAGGCACGTTCTTCTTCTATTTTCTTTTTAGTTGTTGTCTGACGGGGGTTTCTTAATAGGTCGATGAGAAACATGCGCAGGCATGGAATAAGTATACGTTCTACGGCCGTGTAAGACCTTGGGACGGGCTCGTTGGTATCCTCAGGAGCGCCGTACGTCTCTTTCTCCTCTTCACACTCACGTTTACTGTCAGCTCATTCAACTCCTCTACAGGGCAACCCAATCAATCATCTGTTCTTCTACGGGTACCTCGTCGGTGGCGAGACGCTCGTAGGCAACTGGCGCCTTGCGAGTACGGATCCCTTTGTGCCCACCTGGGAGAGCGCATTTGTTCTGAGCAAACGCGAGGAATGAACACGTTGCTGTTGGCGCTATTCAATTCACTTCGACCCAGGCTCCGCAATCACCGTACCAACAAACTCAACTCCACACCCCGGTCACCACTTTCAGGGTTCAACATTCAATGTTCAGCCCATGTATATATGTACCCTTGTGATTACGCGATATCGCCGACGCTCGCAGATACTTCATATCCGAGTACGATTTGGTCCCCCACTGTTGGCTCAATACTGGCTGGACCCGGCGCTACAATAAAATTATCAGGTCAAGACCCATCCTGACATGGACCCACTGAAAAACGGGATATCTTTTCCTCCGACTCCATCGCCTGGCCCGCCATTCATCTTCCTTTTTTCATCTTGGTTCGTTCCTGCATTAATTAGACTTAGACTCTTTCATTCCCTTCATCTTCAACGTTTCTTGTTTACATACCCCCACACCCCGACCACCACACACGCACGCGTCATTCAGGAATCACCCAACACGCGTCACCGAGATACACGAGTCCCAATCACCATGCCACTGCCATTTCATGATTTGTACACACGCACGCATACCCTTTTGCTACTGCCATTTACGTTATTTATTGTGTCTGTGTTTTTACGTTGTGAACCATACTACATATTTATTGTTACCTGTTGCGGGCAGGTGCTGCAAAACGTATACTACTTACATATTAAGTAGAGTTGTTGTGAAAGACTTTCTTTGTCCGTGTCATACGTGCATTGAGTAAGTCATCACTTTGAAGCATCCTCGTAAGATAAGTTGTCGCAGTCTATACGCATGCTTTCTTGTATACTAGCCTGTTACATGTGCATCAAATAAGTCGTAAGATAAGCAAGTTCCTATACGCTATTGCCCGCAAGAATCTCGTCCACTCTGAGCCCGACTGCTACAGTGCCGTTCGCACATCATAGTTGAGCTCTTTTGTGCCGAATCAGTCAACATAGAACCAGGCGTTATTCTTGGTGTCTGTGGGAGACTTTAACCCTTCTTTCCTGCGTTCAAAGAGATCACAATCATTTCAGTCAGGCTTCGAACGCCACACGTAGGGTGAAGGACTGATGCACGGTGTGCGCATGTACGTACAGTCGACTTGGTGTGATGATGCAGCAGCAGCTCATGAGAGATCCTGCGGTCCGTGGTCCGTGGGTCCGTCCACGCAAAGATGACACTGCTGTTGGATGTGTGTGTTCACGGCAGTCGGGTAGGATTGTGATAACTGAGGAAGAGCCTGAATCAAGAGTTCGTCGTCATTGAACTTTGAGCAACCTTGGAAGAAAAAGCGCGTCTGATGCTGACATTGGATTGCGTAAATGTCATCTTCGTAGAAACCCTGGAAGAACGTTCCAACACTTCTGAGCATATCCTGGGCGCAATTCCGTACGGTCCAAGAAGGTGCAGAATCTGGATCTGTACTGGTGAAGGGATAAGATGCATGTGTTCTCGCTGTCGTGTGGGGGTGTTTGGATCAAGATTCCTTTGAGCACGATAAGAGATGCGGAGGAAGGCTGACTAGATTGACTTCAGTGCCTTTAGATTTGTAGGTAAGGTGTTACGGGCGAAAGACCTAGATTTTGACCTCTACAAAATCCCGTGTAACCTCCCTGAATATGTTGCCTTGTACTCAATCGGCGCTCAATGTAATGATCTCCACTGCACGTAATACGCATGCTGAATCAATCATGGCCACCAACGAGCGTGAAGGTTTTGGGGTGATGGCACTGAATTTATTCCGGAGATTGCAGGGCATTGAAACATATATGTAAGAAGGCTGCGTTGAGTCCAAAATAGACGATGCTATGTGGGGGCGAGAACACCCGATGCGCTTGCCAATTGGTTCTCTTGGCAAGGTTCGCCGAGAACAGAAACAAGCGCTGGGCTGGGTTGAATTGGGACATTGCCTTTGGGAAGGGCGTGAGAGGATGGGAATGGGAAGCGAGGAGCGGTAAAGAATCCGCAGCCTTCAGCTTAATCTAGTAAAAGGGTAACATTTCAGGTGCAGCTCGGTGTTAGACGTGAGGACTCTGAGGAGCGCCGTTCCATGATATATGTCGAGTCGACTGTGCTCCAAGTTTAGACAGGCAGCTTGAAAAGTTCGGGTCGAGTTTGTAAAATGAGCGAGCAGATTGTGTCGAGATTTGGCATGAAACCAAAGATATCATGAGACGTTCGCAACGTCCGTCCCGAATCACAAGTTTGATCATGGAGATTCGGAGGGTAAGCCTGACTCAGTGTGAAATGAATTCGTTGAACCTGACGGCAATGCGAGTCTTGGTATCTGCTGAAGAGTCCTAAACCTAGTCTTGACACCCTTTTTTGAAAACAAAAACAGCACGTTACGTGGTCGTCAGGGCGCATTTTGCACGATGGGTGGGACCCACAGGTGGTCGGAGGTTGCGAGCTCCGCCGCGCGAACCACCTTCTGGGCTCCAGAGTCGTTCCAGACTGTCCTAGGCTCCCGACCATCAGAACCGTTCCTAGGCTATTCATTTGAGTAAAGCTCGTTATAAAGAAGGTAGCGCATCTCACATAGCTGATGGCCATTCTCGAATAGCACTTCTCTTTCAAGTGGTCCTTCGTACAGGTCGAAAGCATTCACCGGACTTGGGTCCAGGATGTTTATGATTAACAAAATTCTCCCCCGTCTTACTTCCGAATCGACAACCTCAACAACGTAGTCCAATATAGTGAGTCAGAAAGAATTCGATAGACGAACGCAACTTCAGCGAGTAGTAGTTAGAAACCTGCGCTCCGAGTTCAACATCAGACTCAGAACATGTAACAAATCAAATAAAAACCCTCAGAAGAAATCGATCACCACATCAGCCGAAGGGGGGAGCATTCTATGATGTTGAACTTGCATCCTGTGGCAGGAGGGATCATTCCAAACGCTGCAGAAACGACCATGTCTGGAAGGTAGGACAGAGGAGGGAGGAGGATGCGGCTGACATAAGCAATAGATATAAATTATCATAACCTACACCCCAGTCTAGGATATAACTTGTAACTCTCTCTAAACCGTCCTCAGCAAGTCCTCAGCCTCCTCTCGACCACAAAATGGTGGACGATACATTAAAATTTTGAACTAGCCACCCCATGTGGTTTCCCGAGAACAATATCGACCAAACGAAAGGCACCCATTCCAACCAACCGGCTGTTTGAAGGTTTTCGATGCTCCCTCATGATCTTGGTGCGGACGTACGTAGGCAGTGGACTACGTTCGTACCATTTCACGAGTCCTATCAGGCCCTCAACGTTGGAAAGTTTGAGAAGAAATACTTGTTCCATAATCAAGGCTGTATCTTCTCCTCTTGTTAGCCTGCGTTAAAGGTTCATGAGGGTTATAATCTTACCAGCAATCATTTGCTCGCATTTGCAGGAGTTCAGTTTATTGGAGTACCACGTGAGGACCTCCGTGGCATATGGCGAGCCCAGGTTGCCGATGACGCGTGGTCCTTTGTCGATATCTTTAGAGAGACAGAGCATAAACTGGAATAATGTCGCTTGAGTTTAGGAAGAATTAATTGGCATCATGAACTAACAATATTTGTTGCTTCCGAATCCGAGGCTAACCATGAGATATTCCAAACATCCAACATTGCCCTGCGTTCAATTGAGGAGGGCCATGTGTCACAGTTATCTTGTCAGGGAGTATTGTGAGTAAATAAAATAAACCAGGTGTTATGATTTTCTACCTTGAAAGCCCTTCCTGTGATTGCGGACAATTGAATTGATGGAAATCAAAATATTTCTTGAGGAAAAAAATACCTGACGCAAGCCTCTAACTTTGGACGTGTGTCCGCCGATTGTGCAGTTGCGAAGAGAAGTGTTAATTCGTTTGCCATAGAAAGGTTAATTTCCTCAGTTGGGCGGCTGAGCGCTTTCAGCGTCTCTTGTATTAACTCTGTCAGACGACTGTCGTTAGGTGTCGATTTGTGAGCTTCATGAAGGTCAGTTTATTTTTTTGAACCACAAAAAATTATTCCAAGTGTCACTCACTTTCCGAAAGAGCTAAGACCGCCTTGGGAGGATGTGGTAGAGCTAGTAGGGGGTCTCTGTAATGTTTGTTAAATTTCTCTTTTGCCACCTGTTTGGCCTTTTCCTCAAGTTCAGCGTCGTCTATCTCCTCTTCTTCCTCATTTTCCTCTTCAAGACGTTGTAAGACATCTTGAACGAACGTATCAAATTTTGTAATGATCGCTAGAACGGGAACTTTGCACGCGCGTCTTTAACAGCCGAGAAAAAAAAATGAAAGTTCAATACCTTGCCAAATGGCGGAGAAAAAGTCCAGCTCAGCTCGTTGGATCGGTCTGGAGTTCATTTCTATACAGTACCTATTAAGGAAAAATGGATGAACTCAGTGATTTGTTTGAAGAAAGATAGCGGTTATTTACGAACCAGACCATATGTAGCCTCTGGTACACATCTTCCTCCTTATTTCTTTTCTCAATAAAATTCCTAACGACCGCAACTTCCTCCACCTTGCCTGCTTCAAATCCCTCGGAGTCGTGGGCGACGAGTTTATCGTTGTTTTGAAATACTATTTCCTTCTCGATGTCGTGATGGCCTCGCTGTTTTATAAAACAGAAAATAATCAGTGGCTGAAGTTAACGGAGGTATGGCGTTTTTTACACATGTACTAGGTGCATCCGCCTTAGAAACCTGTTGAGAGCTTATATATGGAACAAAATACTTAATTGTCTTACCACATCCTCCCCACAAACCTAAACTTTTGTCAAATACTTTCCAGCGGTTGTGCAAGTTGAGTCATACCTTACTTAGAATAGTTGTTTTGCCGGAACCAGTCTTGCCGATGATCAAGAGCCTAAATCTCTTGCCTGTGCTGAGGAAAAATAATTTTGCATTTATTTCTTTGGTCTCATCAAAGGCGACGTACTCACTTGATCTTGGCCGGTTGAGGGACAACTTTTCTATCGTTCTCGACCGTAGGTCGCGAGGAGCAACAACCCATGCGCGTCGTGTATAAAACCCCCAATTCTGTGATTGATATGCAAGACCGCAAAGCTAGCCTTGTCGCAACGAAGCGCAAGGCCTCAGGAGACTGTAAAGGTTGAAGTTAGAGAGAGGCGCTCGCCGCTCGCCCATTTTGAAATGATAGGTCCGAAATCATGTGATGTAATACCGCCCTTCCCCTACCCAGCCCTCTCAGGTAGCAATGCAACAGTACTGGATGCCTTCGATAAGGTTTCCAAATTTTCAAAGGGAGCCGGCTAGTAGGCTACTCTTCATGAAGGTCTGCTTGATAGGTGCAGCGACCGGATTCAAGCCGGAGCCAAAACCGGAATCGTCATAATCATGGCTTTGACAGGGTGTGCGTGCCTTGAGCACTGGGCCCATTATATCTTGATTTCTGGCGCTTAACACAACGACCATCTTGCCACTCAATGCTCTCTTCTCCTCGTAGCCAATATCGGAGCCCTTCGCCAGTTGGAAGCACCGACTCCGACGATGATCAGCTACGCTCATACTTCGACCGCGTAACCAAAGGATGTGATGTGTTCAGAATCCTTTTGGTTGGTAAAGCGGGGTCAGGAAAATCCACCCTTGTTTCGGAGGTATTCGATTTCGAGTTGGATCGAGCAAATGTGCAAGACTTTACGGTACGTCGTCGCCTCCTCTGTATGCGATTGCACCTTTGAAAAGAATCCAGGTTGGCGATCATGACATCAACCATGAGATAACGTCTCCCAATAACCAATCTCTTTCCCTCCACGATAGCAAAGGAATAGAGAGTGGATCTGCTGAGAATCTCAAGATAATAACAGATTTCATCGAGAATCGCAAAGGCCGACCGTTTTCTGAACAACTTCACGCTATCTGGTGCGGCTTTCCCCCCCAAGTTATCTCTGTCCTGCTGATGATATAGTCAGGTATTGCATCGAAATTCCGATCGCTGGACAACGACCATTTGAAGGCGGCGACGTTGCTCTGTTTCGTTCCTTGCTGGAGACAAGAAATAAAGGTGAGAAACCGGCATCAACGTCAATCACATATTTACACTTATCGCTCTTTAGTGCCCGTGATCGTCGTCTTTACCAAACTCGACAGGTTGCAATTTAGGGAACAAAAACGCCTCAAGAAGCTGTACATAGATCAAGGGATGGACCCCAAATCGGCGCAGGCCAAGGCGAAGCTTGATTGTGTCGCTGCTGCCAAAAAGCAATATGAGACTTCTTGCGTAGCGATCCTACAATCAAAATTTGTGCCCGCGGCATGGACGCGCTTCTGCCCTGTATCAAACAAGCGTAATATGGGCGCTTCGTAATCTTCGTCATATGCTCATGTTTTTCCCCTTCGTTAGAGCACGACTCCATAACAAACTTGATCGAACTCACCAAGTCCACCCTCCAGCAATCAGAGTCTTTGAACATTCTTTGGGCGTCAGCGCAAATGGTAGCGCCATCCACCGGCTTGCCGTGATTCCCTTTCTCATCCAATGCATCAGGTTGATATTGATCTCAAAGTTGAAATGTCGTTGGAGTGAGTAGTCTCCTTTGAACGTTACTACGACCATCTAATTACAAATTCACAGGGCTGGGAAAAACAGTCGGCCCCATCTCCCTTGAATAGAGTTCATAATTGAATTTTTTTCAGTGTATTGGCCTGGCCTCGGCGCAGCGCTTATTCCTTTGAAGGGTGTTCGTAGGATTACCATCCTGACAATCCTTGGCAGAATCCACTCCGACATCGTACGGCTGTGGAACTTCAAGGTATGGAGTTTAATTATGGTGTTCCTTCCTCTTTTCAACTGGCCTATGAGTCCACAGGATCCTGAAAAGGTGGGCGCACTTCCAAACGTGCTTGCCACGCTGTTGAATTCTATTTTTTTTCCGTCAATTCCGGACATAGATTTTGCTCGGAGCTAACATGAGAACGATGATTCGAAAGCTATTCATTGAGCCCATTGTTGCGCCGACATTGGAAGGCACGCCAGGCCCCGATGCTGAGGGCACCAAGATAATCGAGAACATCGCGCAGGCTGTGATGAACCCCGGGGCGATCGCACCTGCCATCGCGGACGCTGCCAAGGTGCTTGATGAAATGGTAGTTGCAACTCCAGCCACGGCTAGGGTGCTCATGGCTTACGTTACTGGTAATATCTCCTTGGCTCCATCAGTTGCCGAGGTTGACTTCCTGTTTAATTCAGATTTGACTTTGGGAATGGAAGGGCTTTACTGGCTAGTTCGTCCTCGCGAGAACAAAGCCGTTTTCCGTCAAGATATAGTTCATGCTTTTACGACCTACCGCGCGTCAAGGCAGCGAGGAGATGTCCACATGTTGATTCGGGACTACATTGGAGATGAGAATGTTCGTCGACTAGGAACTTGATCACCTAATCTGCCTCTTTTTGATGAGAATTTTCATCTAGATAATGCGCTCGTTCAGCAGAGAGAAAGCTCTCAAGAAGGTTGGCGAAATTGTCGCTAAGTCACGATTTGTGAGTGGCACTTTGTGGTTGACTGTGATGTCGGTGTATCTCAAAGAATTACTTTATATTTAGGACCCTCAAGAAGTTTTCAATGACCTGCAGTGACAGGTTGTTCTTTGAGGCGCTCGATCATTAGCGTTACATATCTTATAACCTCTGAACAATCTTTTTTTACTCGGGAGTCTTCAAGGCGGCCTACTTGTATGTTTCGCTTTTCTGTATGATGTATGTCATCTCCATTCCATACTTAATATCGAATTGTGTCTTTAAAGTACGGGGCAATTCAATACTGGTACTGGGAGTGTTGGAATTTAGGGATTGTATGGTGTTCGAGAACAGCTAGGTTCAATTTCCAACGGCTCACAATGTTTATGTGGGAATCCTGGGGTAAGGCCTTGCAAAACGAAGTGAGAGCGCGGGAAAATGCACCAACAGTTGATCCTACCGTGACTTGCGCTTGACTTGCGCACATCATGACCAGGAAGAGACAAGTCTTATCTTCCACCAACTCTTTCGCGATTGATTGAAAACTCCAATGGACGAAGAAGATCTGATCGATTTTTACGGCGAGCTGGCCCAGTTGGCTGAGCCTTACCAAGATCTTCCATTCGAAGAAGTGGAACTGGACGAGTTACTAGAAGGCCGGTCGGATGTCCCCAAGAGGACCCCGTATAACCCGTACTTCCATGGTTCGTCAATCTCACTTGTCTTTATAGGCTTGCATTGAACCACGCATCTGAAGCAAATTACATGACCGGTTGGATCATGAAGGAGTTAAGATTGAAGAAGCACAGAACACACTTAGGATGCAAACAGTTGGATTTGAATAGGTTTCTTATGCTGCCGAGTGATGTTCTGTACGGGGTAGGGCTGTTCGTTCCGTGTTTTTCGAATTCTTCCTTACCTTTCACCCAGATATGTGAGTGGCTACACCCTGTGGATCTGTATCACCTAATGCAATCTACCAGAACATTCAGAGGCGTGATTCTGAGTCAAACATACAGAGGGGTGTGGAAAAGTGCTTTCCGTCTGTACGACGATTTGCCAACTTGCCCCGAAGATGTATCAGAGCCACAATGGTCATCTTTATTATTCGGTCCAGACACTTGTGATGTGAGTTGCCTCCTGCGTCTTGAATGCTGAGTGGACCAGCTCATATTAACTACTGCGTCAACAGATTTGTGGGAATCACGGGGCCCTCGTTGACTTTGCCTTTCGGAAACGGCTATGTTGCACATGTAGAGTTAGTAGTGCATGGTCTGTGGCTATTTGTGCTTAACCTCTCTTTCGGTCAGAGCACTCACGTGGGGAATCGACGCGACATGTTCTACATCGTGCCAGACGATCCCGACGACAAGCTTTTCATTGTTTGGTCACTCGTTCCAAAATCATTCCGTCACGGTAACTGAGCCAGTTCTCGTGACATGAGAGGGCTCAATCTAAATAGGAAGCACAACCTATTTTACTGACAACCCGGCGCTTGTTGAACACATGGAGGGACGCTATGCTCGATATTTGAGAAAGGATGTAAAGGCAAAAGTCGACGAGGTCAAGGGGTTTCTGGCCGACATCGACGCAGAGGTACCAGGCGCTACCGAAAGCTATCAAACTTTCTTAATTGACACTGCAGAAAAATGTGAAAAGAATAACATTGTGCGTACTTTTGTAACCTTTGCAACCATTTCTCATTGGAGTAGAGTGCGCGAGGAGCCAACACATGGGCGCAAGGCGTTTATGCTGATATTTCCTGTGACCAGGAGCACTTACAACGGGAATCACCAAAGAGGTAAGCGGCTATGCCCGTTATATTATGATTTTGATATGCTCAGATACCTAAACGCAGATGCCTGACCCGACTTGTGAACACTGGACATGATTTACGTGATACAATTGCTGCTGAACGGCTTGTCCTTTGTGGGTTGTTCAGAGCTAGGCGTATCATACGAGTCACGGGCAAGGGTAAACACCTTACCATGCCATGCCTTCCAGTTTCCAATGATCTATTCTTCCAGTCTACCGTGAAATCAAGCCCGATATTGAATCGATGGTGTACAGAAAGAAAATGAAGAGGTTGTCTTGGGAACGTCAAAATCTCGTCAGGTCATATTATACGGAGTATCGCATGACGCTGAAGCCAGAACAGTGGGCATATGTCCCACCTCTTCACCAAATTTCTAGAGACAGTCTATTCAGTGATTTCCTCTCCTCCGAAGCTGATCCTATGGCTGAGCTTTCGAGGGAAACCGCGTTAGCTCGTTTTCCTCGGCTTATATCAGAGTTCATGGACTCACAGATCGCACGTCTGGCTTCACTGCTGCCCGAAGAGACTGAATACGTCATCGCCCCCGTTTTCTTTTGCAGGTTATGCTTGGACAGTCAGCTATGTGGTGTGGCACTGCGGCTGGACAAACATTTGTCCACACATGAGCAATAGTCGTCCAAGTTATGATAGACTTTGCCATATGAATCTACGGTTTAACTCGGTCGGCTACTCTGCTGTATGTTCTCTCATCCGCTGTTTGGGGCTTGATCCCGCGACAACGACACCAGAACATCTTGACCTGATTGATGCCCGCTTTTTCTGTGAAGCATGCCCCATGTCGTCTGTACGAGGCGTTCGAGGTCGGAAAGCACTTAAGTGGACGGAATGTGTACGTTTCTTTTGAATCCATCATCTCAGCTATTGACAGCTCTATAGATTGACACATGCAACGATGGAATCAGTATACTTTTGGCAGCTTCTTACACCAGAAGCGACACAGTTTGTCAAAGAGCATGAGCCCCTCTTTCCCCCTGCCGAGGCAACCGCCTGGGGCTGCAACCACTGCCCAGAACACTTTGAGAAGAGTGTTTCCCTTTCATGTGCGAAGTCTCACGTCAAAGAAATGTTAGTTTTTCTCTGATCTTTCGCCCCTCGATCTAAATCAACATTCCATCGCTGTAGTCACAACATGGAGTGGCCAGTCATAGGCAAAGATGTCATCGCGTACAAGCACCAGTTCCACCTCCAGCCGCGGGGATATGCTTCTTGGAGGCCATTCCACTACGCACTGGAACCGCCTTGCCAGTTCATGTGCAAAATGTGTCCGAAGCGACCTGTTTACCAGTTGTGGTCGATGCAGGATTTGATACCACATCTGTGGAGGAAGTGAGCACCAGCATCCCTTAACTTTGAGAGTCGCTGGTTAATGTATCCCTTAGGCATCATGTACCCGGGCCTCGTCAACATGGCCATTGGGAAAAAGTTGAACTTACCGTGGCGCGTTGAAAGATTTGACACTCTCAATTACAACTGCAATCAAGTAATATGATTTTCGGTTTCCGATCCAGCTCTTGGCCCCTTTTCTCGGCTAGTTTGACTCTGGCAGCTGCTTGCTGCTTCGGACTTCATCTGTTCCGTTCTCGCTCCACTGTCCAGTTGCGCAAGGTAGAGGAATAATATTCATTATTTACAACAGTACGATCCTGTTAACAAGGAGGGAACATCGGGTTACCTAGACTCGAAACCATCACCCTTGAGAGTCTCGAACCCTTCTCGTAGAGGAGCCACTCGCCTAGCAGGTTTCACTGGCTTGTTGGAGGCCGACGGTGGAAAGTTGACGTTGACGCGGAGGCGACGGCGGTCTGTGGCCGCGCAAACCGCGGGCACGGTTGGAAAGCGAGTCTGAGTGAAACGAGGTCCGAGTCGTGGTGGTAGTCAACAAACCCAAACGCGGCTTCTGGCTGGCTGAGGGACCCAATAACTTCACGCGGCGTGCAACAAGTGGCAAGCTGAACCTGCCGGTCGTCAGACTCATTGTACTCGTGTGCGCGAAGTGGCAAGGGCAATTGCTAAGCGTGACGAAAAGCGCCGGTTGTCGGTGGGGTGAAGTGGGTGGTATTGATGGTGATATGGTACCTAGGTCGAATGTTCACGTCAACTGGGTGCTATGAATGTCGTCAGGTAAAGGAGGCGTGAACAATCATGAAGAGCTCACGAAGGCCTCCCTACAATCGAAGAGTAAACTTTTCCAGTCAGTGTGATGTGTCTCGAGAACGACCCACAGTTAGTTAAAACCAAGTTAGGAGTCCTAGGACATGCTGTTGGCGCATCTACTGGACAAGTTTTCCAGCTCTCTAGGTTTGCACATGGGGGCGAATCTTTCGAAAAGTAACGCAGTTACACTCCATCGAAGCACTGTTGCTTGACTGTTGCTCAGATGTCTACAATTATGGCTGCTCTTGCTGCATCTTTGGCTGAAGAAGTGTCAACCCTGTTTCGCCCTTCCGTATCATCGCGTATATTTCTGTGCTTTTGTTTGTTGCTGGGCTTCGGGAAAGATCATGAACACCTTGTAGAGATTTGCGTAATCCAGCATAATCCCCGTGAGTTTTACCTTGGTTTTTTTCCAGCTGTCCAGCTTTTTCAGCAATTATGACAACACGGAACAGAGTATTGTGTTCGTGTGGGGGTTTGGTGGGGGTCATGGTTTACTTTCGCAGTATGGAACAAGTGTGACTCCCGAGGGCAATTTGCCTCCGTTCAACTTGAATTTGTCCATTACGTTCACTCTGCTGGTTGACGCTTGGTTTCAACGCGATGTTTGGCGAGGTGCTAATAGTAAGGGTCAAACAACATTGAAACAACACGACGCGCCCACGTGAGGGTGAGTCACAGCTCTCAAAACATGCATATGCATGAGGTGCTTCGTTCATTGAAGAAGTTTTGCACAATCTACCGATTGAGCTAAATAGGCGCCTTCTTCATAAATGTATATCCCTATACATAAGCCCTCCATGAGGCCCCAGGTTCAATCCCTGGGAAGCAAAGTTTCACATTACCTCGATAACTAGATAGGTCGCTACTGGAGTCTATAAGCCCTCCACAGGCATCTCTGGGTAAATGTATAGGGATATACATTTATGAAGAAGTTTTGCACAATCTACCAATTGAGCTAAATAGGCACCTATTTAGCTCAATTGGTAGATTGTGCAAAACTTCTTCATTCATCAAATCTCCATTGTTCTGCAAATGTGGCCAGTGGCCGGTGGCCTCGAATTGTGGCCTTGATTTTTGGCCTTGATATATAACACAGCTTCAAGTAATGTGAGTTCAGTGTATTTTCTAATCCAATACTCGAAATGGCAAAGCTCACCTGCACTTTTTCGCAAAACACAGTTGCGCCTTCGTCACCGTTGTCTTCACCCCCTGTGACGCCAACCAAACCCTCGCAATCTCAGGAGGCACAACCCAATTGTCCGTTATTGCCCCTCTTGTCCCCACCGGCTAGTCAGGCTGCCCTAGCACCTGAAACTGTACCCGTTACTCTGCAGAAGAAACATCAGGATGCACAACCTGATCTTTCGAGCCCATTATCCCCCACATCTTCCCCAGCTGCCAGTCAGGCTTTTCAAGTCCCTGAAGCTGCTCCTGTTACTCTGCAGAGGAATCCTAATCATAAACCCTCAGTCGACGACACACCTATGGGTCCTACTTCGCATGGAACGGACGCAAGTCGTTATACAAAGGCCCTTCATTGAGGCTGAACTGAAATCACACATTTATGATGGTGGTCGCCACTTTGCCGATAACACATTTTGCAGCCATGTCTCTCAAGATTCTATCACAAAAGTTCTCAACGACGCCAACCTTTACTGTGAAAATCAATGGGTGGGAATTCCTGAAGCAGTCGACAAAGAGTGTGAGTTGTACGTGCCGTACTACAAAATTTTCACAGGCCTGCTCGAGCACGCGAAGGTGGAACGCACCTGTTGGGTTCTCAAGAGCTATGCCATCCAAGCATTTCATATATAGAGGGTATAGATAACACCAAGCTGAAGTCGTCACCAGACTTCATGGTTCAAGGCCACAAGTTGTCAGCATTCCCACCAATGGAATCAACTAATACAGGAGACTACATTCCCGGTGGTGATAAGAAGAAAAAATTTCCCTATAAGTCTTGCACTGCACTTGTGGATATCAAAACAGAGAAGGATGCATTGGAGTCAAACTTTATGAACCATCTTGTCCAGCTCACTGTTTACACTCGGTCAGTTTTTTAATTTTGTGAGATGATCGCTGTGCCAGTGGTGCTCATTTCCTTATTCTTAGTCAATGTTTCATCCAACAACAAAACAGATTTTTTGTTTACGCCGTCATTCTGACCAAACAACACGTTTGACTCTATCAATTCAATCGAAGTGGCATCCAATACTCCGCTCTAATCAATATACACGACAATCCGTCTCATTTTGTTCGTATCATGCTTGGTGTCGCTTCCCCTGATGCAGAGAAAGTCGGGTTCGATCCCAATGTCAAATGGGAAGGAAAATGCTGAGTTCTCTATACACTGGATGAAAACAGAATAAAAATCCAGTACAACCTGACGTCTGCAAAACCTCTTTTCTGGTGGTGTGCGATTTGTGGTCAAGGCACTCAATGCCATGCAGTCACCAGCCCAGATGGCGAGAAGCATCTCGTCAAAGAAGCCTGGCGGTTGAAAGATCGGACGCCGGAATGGCAGTTTCTGGAGGAAGCCAAGGGTTTGGCTGGAGTTGGGCAAATGATCACTCATGAGGAGACCAAATATACCACAGCCAAGTACAGGGGGATTGACATGTCGAGCTTTGTTGATGAGCCAAACCCCGCGTTCCATGATAGGATATTCTCTCAGACCACACTTCAAGCCTACGGGGAGCCTATAGACAGGTTCGAGACATGGCTTCAGCTGCTGTATGCCTTTCGTGATGCTATTGCTGGTAAGCTTGGAGTATCTACATAGCTCTCTTCGTTGACAACTCTCCTTCATCCAGGTCATCAAAACTTGTGGAACAGAAAGATTTTACATCGTGACATTAGCATCAACAATATTCTACTTGGGAATGAAGGTGCCGAACCTGGTAACTGCGGTCTTCTGATAGATTTGGATGTGGGGATTTGGATGGATTGCATCACCAGCCTGGCCGGCGCTGATTTCCACACTGTTTGTGTTGTCTATCTTGAGCTTTCTATATATCTGACAGGGTGAATTAGGGGACGCGTGCATTTCAATCTGTGATGGTTTTGAGAAGTGCACTCTTTGGAACCAGGTCTGCCACTCACGATTATCTCGACGATCTGGAATCCTTCTTCTACATTCTTTTTTGGATTTGTTGCACTTATGAGAAGGCTAAATGGCCGTGCCGTGGAGCACTCCCCCCTGCCCTGACAAAGTGGGAAGACGACAACCCCCAATTTTCATCGAATGCGAAGTTTATGACCCTTTCAGTCTCTTTCGACAAAGACACCCCAATCTCCACCTACTTCAGTGATATCTTCCTCGATCTCTTCAACAGTTTGCGCCAATTTCTCAAAGGTCAGGTTGATAAAAAGTTGCACTTGTGGAATGCACCACAAGGGTCTCTTATGGCCCTGATGCCGCAATCAGAATTGCACTATGCTGAAGTTCTCAGATACATCGATGTCGCTATCAAAGCTGTGGAGGCCCTCCCAGAAGAAACGACACTGCAACCTCTTACGACCCCTGAAAAGCGAACTTCAACAGGTCCACCTGATGACTCCCCAAGGCCCAAAAGAAAGAAGACTAGGCCCCATAAAGACTCGGCAGGAAATGAAAACCCATTTGCATCAACAATTCCCTCCAAGCTGTCCCTTCAATCAACTTTCGAATGAACCAGATTCTGCAACGTTTTTATTTTGGAACATACATACTCATTGTACACTAGCGTTTCAGCACATATGTAGTCTTCTGTATGCATATTTTTGACATAATTCAACACGACTTTTCGTCTCACTTAACCTCGACCATTGAACCCATCTATAAAAGAGACAAACAACAATTCGTAATATTGCTGATTGGCGACACCTTGAAACCAAAGAACACATCTCTTACCCAATATGCCGTCATTGTGTGCTGCGTGATGGCATCCGCGCATGCATCATGACTGGGAACAGTCAAGTCTTTCTTTCTACAAACTCTCTTGGGATTGATTGAAAACTCCAATGGACGAACAAGATCTTGCCACCTTGAATCTGGTCAACATTCCCAGCGACTTGCTGGCCGAGCCTTACCAAGATCTTCCATTTGAAGGAGTGGGAGTGGACGAGTTACTAGAAGGCCGGTCAGATGTGCTCAAGAGGGCGCCATATTGCCCATACTTCCATGGTTCATCAATCTCACTTGTCTTTACCAGCTTGCATTGTTAATCACGCATCCGAAGCAAATTACATGACCAGGTGGATCATGAAGCAGTTAAGATTGAAGAAGCACAGAACACACACAGGATGTGAACAGTTGGATGTGAATAGGTTTCTTATGTTGCTGACTGATGTCCTGTACGGGGTAAGCCTATTTGTTCCGTGTTCAGACTCTTCCTTGCCTTTCGTCCAGATATTTGGGTGGCTACACCCTGTGGATCTGTATCACCTGGTGCAATCCACCAGAACATTCAGAGGTGTGATTTTGAATTAAACATACAGAGGGGTGTGGAAAAGTGCTTTCCATCTGTACGATGATTTGCCAACTTGCCCCCAAGATGTATCAGAGCCACAATGGTCATCTTTATTATTCGGTCCAGACACTTGTGATGTGAGTAGTATCCTGTGTCTTAAATTCTGAGTGGGATCTAGCTCATATCAACTACTGCGTCAACAGATACTGTACTAAACTGTATGGTGGCAACGTAACACATAACACTGACCCGATTTTGTTGCTTATTTCTAGTGCTTGGAAGTCCAGTCCCAAGACTGCAAAAAGACCGCAACTGGACCGGACCAAGACCGCAACTGGACCGGACCAAGACTGCAAAAGACCAGACCTGCAGTCTTGGTCTTTCAGATTTGAGATCACAAGACCGCAAAAAAACCGGTTTACATGGATCGGTCTTGTCGGTTAAGACCGGTCTTTTGTACCTACATAGAAACCCTTCAAAACACACCTAAGATCATATTTTTAGGATAAAAACTGACAAAGATACATAAAAAACTGTAAAATATTTCGTGAAAATAGCAGATGTACCTTAGTATTTTTGTATATACATCAATTCTCAACGTAATTTGACGTTCTTGCACTCGTTTAGAAGCTACGAAGAATGTTAATAAAATTACCGACTCACAATTGCAAAATCTATGGCATATTTAGCTGAAAAACCAGTCTTGAACTGGTTGTAACCAGTTTGGACCAAGACCAGTCCAAAGACTGAAAAAGACCGCAGTCTTGGTCTTTTCCGGTCCTGGTCCGGTCTTTTGAGGTTTTAGGAACTGTGTGGACCGGTCTAGGTCTCGGTCTTTTCGTTTTGGGTCAAAAAACCGGACTGGACTGGACTTTCAAGCACTACTTATTTCACTGGTTGTCACACTTGGCAGGGATTGTTCAAGACCATTGTATGCCTAGCCGACCTCTGCTTACCACTCAAAGAGGAGCGTGGGATAGCAGCAAACAGGGTCAGCCTCTGGCTAGTGATGTGCCAGGCCCGGCCCAAAGCCATAAGCCAGCCAGAGCCAGCCGTCCCAAAGCCGGGCCTTCTTGGGCCTTCGTCAAGGCCCAGGAAAGCCCAAGGCTCAGGCTCACAATGCATGAAGCCTTGAGCCATGGCCTGAGCCATGGCCTGAGCCATGGCCTCAAAGATTGGTGGGACCTTGCTTTGGAGGGGTACGGTTGGTATGATTAAGTAGTTGAAATTTGAATAGAATGCCAGCACAGAAAGGCGGTAACTCACAAGTAACTCACTGTCCAAAATTTTCCCATCGCGCAACATACTCTGGTACATTCTCGGCTGGGTCTTGCAATAATAACCAGTAGTTGCGGCCAAACATCGGTTTCGAGTCCTGATTTTCAAACCGAATTCTGTATACCAATGACGTTCCTGTCAAGCATACAATGCGCCTTTGGACAGTCTCAAAAGTGTGGTGCATGCAAAATTGCATTGAGACGATGTCAAATGGTTGCACGAGTTTTTCAGGGGAAAACGCGAGGCCTGGTGTAACAACCCAGTGCAGCAAAACTAGCTCCGAACCACGAACCATGCATTGGCTCCCAACATCAACACGCTTGATCCTCTGACACCGCTGCGATATCTGAGCGCACGAATCCATTAACTCCCTATTTCCAAAATGAAAGAAAAACGCACCAACTCCAAGCAACTCCCTCACTTGCGCCTTTGCCCACTTTGTCATATTCCCATGACACCCCATATCCAGCCCCTTGCCATGCTGAAACCTATAAGTTAAGTTAAGGGAGGTATGACGTGCGAGGTGAACTGTACGGTGCATGGTCAGGAGCTTTGAAGAAAGTGATAGAGGAGACATACCGTAAACTCCAAAGAACTTGCGATAAGTTTTCGACTAATTGATTGTTTGTGCGTATTTTTCGACTTTAGCACCTGAGCCATGGCTTGAGCCTGGGCCGGGCCTGAGCCAGCCTGAAGCCTTGCAAAAAGCTCAGGCTTGAATATAGTCAAGCCTGAGCCGCTGAAAGCCGGGCCATAGCCGTGGCTTTCGGGCCAAGCCGGGCCTGCACATCACTACCTCTGGCAGACCCCAAGGTTTAATGTGAGGAGCGGTATGCTATAAAAAAGATGTGAGTGATAGAATAGAGAAGAGTTGATGATGATGAATATAGTGACAAGCATGAAAGATGAGAATGATGAGGAAAAAGAGGCTATAGTTGTTGTTGTGGGGATGGATGGTGGTATTGAGAGAATGAGAGGAGCATTACGAGGAATCTATGAGAATGCACAGAGTTAGGCAGTGGGGAGTTGCCAAAATCATGTCAAGGAATTCATGATATTGAGAAGATGAGGAAAGGAGAGAAAAGAGAGCAGAGTAAGGGACATAGCTGTATTTATGTGGAACAGTGTCACTTGATGTTGAGGTATGTTGCAGGGGAAAGATATATGTAGGGAAAGATACTTCTTTGACAGAAGCAATAAGGGAGACTGGAGGTGGTCATGTGAGCAAGGCATGTTGACCATGCAGAGGTAAAGTGCTGGCAAAAAGTACTGCGGGTGAGAATTTTTTTTACTTCAACAGCCTTTCAAAGCCAGAGCTTTTCTGGTTCATATCTGAATACATGGTGGCTTGTTTGAGAATGATGAAATATCCTTTCAAACAGGCATAAGTCGTATCGTGTTTATGTTAGGGCAGCTTCAATCCAAATTAGGAAGTAAACTCTGAAAAGTCGCTTCGTTTGAATGAAGCGCTCTCGGTCAAATGAAGGCGTGCAAGTCTAATTTTGAATACAAGGACTAATATCGAGTATACCTTCCCTTTGCAAGTCCAAGAGCTGCCACGCGTTGGGGCATGCTGTGGTAAAGCGAGAACAAGTAACTATCCTCCATTTCTGCCCATGTATCCACCAAGGCCTGCCAAAGCTGAACTTTATGGTTGGGTATTGTGGGCGTTGGCGAAGTCTAATGTCGAGCTGAGACCAGACATGTTCCATTGGGTTCATATCTGGACTGTTAGGTGGCCATGGAAGTGTCTTGATTCCGTTACGTGTCAGCCATGTTGTCGTGTACTTGGATCTGTGCTTGGGATCATTGTCTTGCTGGAAAATCATTCCCTTTTTTTGAATCTCCAGCGTCTTTAGGGTACCGAGGAGTGACTCATCCAGTATCTCACAAAACTGGACACTATCCATGATCCCTTCGACAAGATGGAGCTCACCATACCCCTTCGATGTGATACATCCCCAAACCATGAGGCTGCCCCCTCCATGTTTGACTTCTGTCCTCACATTCTTCACATCAAACTCTTCTCCAACTCCCCTCCTCCACCACTGAAGCCCATCTGACCCAAATAAATTGAACTTCTTCTCATCCGAAAAGACTACAGATAGCCAGTCTTTTTCGGTCCAGTTCTGATGGAGTAAATACCATGCCAGTTGCTTCTTAATGTGAGTTGGTGTGAGGAAATAGCGTCGGCGACGACGGCGGCCATGTAGGCCTTCACGGATGAGGACGTTGCACACAGTCCGGACAGAGAGGGTTGGGAACAGGTCACGTTGTAGCTTGGATGTGTCAGGATATACCCCCATCCGAATCTTCCGAATGGCAAGGCGTGTGTCGCGCTTGGATAACTTTCTGGGACGACCTGGACGTGGTGGGGTATAGTAAAAGTTGTGGCTCTCGTGGTATTTGTTGAACGTGCGGCAGACTGTGTCCTCGCTGAGACTGAGTTCTTGGGCAATGTCCTTAATGGGGACATTCCGCTCTCGCAGGCAGACGATCCGTGCCTGCTTTGTTGGTGTGGCTTTAGTCATAGACTTTCTGCGAGTTTGGATGGAAATGATGTGGTTTCGAGGAAGTGTTGTCGTGCTGTGCCACGATTCTCAAATTTGATGAGGTAATATTACAGTCTATTTTTGGGCACTCAGGAACAAACTCTCTGTAACTTTTCTCCTCGTTTGAGGAACCACACAACATTATGGTGTCTTATGCAGAAGAACCTCCTCATTAACTTGAGAACAAAAAAGGTGTTTATTTACCCCCATAAATTAATAATCTAGCCTCATCTTTTTGGTAAATCGTGACCCGCAGTATTTTTTGCCGGCACTTTAGTTAGGTGAGGCCTTATGGAATCATGCGAGCAAGGCATGTTGATCTGTGGGTAGGTGAAGCCTTGGGAGCTGTTTGTTACCATGCAGAGGTAGTTAGGCAAGGCCTGGTGGAGACTACCAAACAATGGCATGAAACAATCCCAGAAGAATGCGTATAGTACATATAGTGCATTTACAGCTGTTTGCATAATTCCGTGAACACCGAGATTTTATTTTCCAGCATGACATGACATCTCACCTATTACTAAGCATTGTCCATCTCTCTTAACTCTTCACCGTCCTCAACGTTGCCACACTATGAAGCTCTTATTGTCTATTCCAGTGCTATCTGTAACTCACCAAGAACCCACCAGAATGGATCCTACTCTCCCTGCCAGATCTTTGAGCTGGATGTGAATCCTGGTTCCGTGCATGGTGTTCCATAAGCTTATTGTTCTCCCAAAGCTCGCTCCCCCCTCACTTGTACGGAATCCCTGAACAGAATTCCTGGTGGCCCTATCATCTTGCCTCAGTCTCAATCCCAGCAAATCATCAATGTTTGAGGGCCTAACAGTCTGTTTACTGAATATATTGTTGACTTGCCCATGTGCTCGGTAGTTACACATTTAAAGTTTAGATATAAGTCCTACAGAGCAATCTACCCTATCACAAATTCCTCAATACATCGATAAGCCTTCCTCGAAATACCAGTCATCTGACAGTGAGTCATGATCATTGTGCAAGTAGAAATGATCCCTTTTTAGGTAACTATGTCACGTCACACCAGGAAAACAAAATCTGCATGTTCACGGAATTATGCAAATGGCTGTAAGCAGAGTACAAAGAGAGTTGGCAAAGCCATGATAGGGGAAGGGGAAATTAGAGAGAGGATAAAAATCCATGATTGGTAATGTGAGGTCTCAAAAGGGAAGACCTCTATCAGAACATTAATAATGCGGGCAAGAATGAAAGGCAAGATGACTGAAAATAAGAATGTAGGTTGGACAGTTGGCAAAGCCAGAATTAGTAAAAGAAAGAATTCTGTGATGGTAGTTTGGCATGATGAATGAGAGGATGGGAAGGATGGAAAAACAGATGCAGAATATGCAAGAGATGTTAAAAATAATGATTGATAATGTGAGGTCTCAAAAGGAAAGACCTCTATCAGAACATTATAAATGAGTGGAATGCATGCAAGAATGAAAAGCAAGAAAAATAAGAATGTAATCAGAGAGTTGACAAAGCCAGAATCAGTGAAGGAAGAGTTCTGTGATGGTGGTGTGGCATGATGAATCAGAGGATGGTAAAGATGGAAAGGCAGATGCAGAATATGCAAGAGAGGTTAAGAGTAGTGATTGGTGATATGAGGTCTCAAAGGGAAGCTCTTTGTTGCAAGATTTGGAAGAGAAAGAAAAGAACGCTTTAGGCACAGTAAGGGAGAACAAAGCAGATGAAAGGAGAACAATTAAAGAAAAGAAGAGGCAATGAGAAGATATGGTGAGAGTAGTAGAGAGGGTGAAAGTGAGGATAATAAAAGGAGAATGCAGTGGAAATTCTTGATCAAAGATATCAGGGTGTGAAAGGTGTAAGGGTGGGGAACAGGTTGTGAAAGACCACAATTTGATAGAAGAAGAATGGATGGAATAGAAGCAGGATGATGGAAATAATGGCAAAAGAGTTGGAAAGGCATAGCTGTTTTCTGGTTGCAGTTCTTCCATTCTCTTGGCTGCTGCAAACTGAAGAAGGCATCTGTTGAAATTGACTCAGCAAGCGCGTGTGATCAAGGCAAGGTGGGGAATAATATTCCGGTTGTCTCTGGGTGACAGAGGCAAACAGATGGGTAACTACAGTACAAGACTTTGTATATATATTGTAGACTACAAAATATAAGGGGATAAATGCAAAACACCCCTAAGAATGCACGGAAACAATCAATGGAAGAAATGTACCTGAAATCAAGTGAAATCCGAAGATGGGGCGCATTGTGCATGCTCATAAAGCTCCCAAAATTCCAACACACTCCCTCGAGCAAAGCAATGTGCCCAAGAGCAACAAGGGCACTCCCTGAAACTGAGGAGTCTCCGAAAAATGCGAAATATAAAACAAAATGGGAGGCACTCCCTCAAACCAATAAATCTCCTGATCTCCAACATCCAGACAATGGCCCATGCCTAAAAAGGCTCCAACAAGTGAATGTAGGTGATGGGAACGGCGACGAGCAAGGGGGGAAGCAATTAAAAAAAAACAAATCCGGGATCGGTGAGCATAGGCAGCTGCAGAAATCGGCTTGAGCAATCAAAACAGGCGGCGGTCAGCGTCATCGACAAGGGTAATCGAATGCACATGGTGTGGTGTCGACATCTGAAATAAAAACTCCTCCGTACATCCTTCAAATCCTTTCCAACTCCTCTTACTCCTTCAAAATGTGCCTCCAAGCCTGAAGACTTCAAACGTGCGCCAATTTCAATGGCGGCTTTCCTTCCTCATGATTGTGGCTTTGACAGTGGCAAAACAGTGTGCCAATCTTGATGGCAGCTTTTCTTCTTCGTCATGGCAGCTGATCATCAACAGCGCCAAATACTAGTAGTGCACCGATCTCGATGGCAGCTTCCTTCTGCAAGTTTAGGGGCATTGCAGCCCTCTTCTGCAGGTTTCATGTCTGTGCAGACATCTTCTGCCTCGGAAATGCACACGAGGACTTTCTTCAGCCTCCAGCGCCAAGCGCGAGGACTTCAACAGGTGCGCTCTGAGCAAGCAGCTTTGCTTCGGCGCTTCAGAATCAGCGCGTGACTGTCAGAGAGTGACGGCGAGTGACATCAAGTGCTGAGCCTTCAACTGCGGCGAAATGAGAGAACGAGGGAACGAAAGCAGAAAGCGACGTGACTGGGGTGTATGTGAGACTGACCCACCCCAAGAGGACAGGAATCCGTTTGTGTTGAAATCGACTCAGCAAGCACATGTGATCAAGGCAAGGTGGGGAATAATATTCCGGTTGTCTCTGGGTGACAGAGGCAAACATATGGGTAACTACAGTACAAGACTTTGTATATATATTGTAGACTACAAAATATAAGGGGATAAATGCAAAACACCCCTAAGAATGCACGGAAACAATCAATGGAAGAAATGTACCTGAAATCAAGTGAAATCTGAAGATGGGGCGCATTGTACATGCTCATAAAGCTCCTGAAATTCCAACAGCATCTCATTTAGTCATCGAGTGTTGTGGCTGCTGAAATTGTAGAGACAGATGTTGCTCTGAAAGATGAGCAGCTATGAGACTGAGAAGGAAGGAGGGCACAGAGAGCAGAGAAGGAAGGGGGAATATGGCAAGCTGTGAAATGTGAGCAGTAAAGGAGAAACAGGATGATAAAAAGATGCAATGAGCAAGTATGGAGACACATAATGAAAGGGGCACATGACAAATGATGGCAAAATCACAGGAGGGTAATGATGAGCATGATGAGAATGGAGATGAAGATGGCGACAATGTGCAAAGACGAGATGGCAGTTAGCCAAACAGAGCTTATCATCCATGACATGGTGGATGATCCCCTCATCTCCTTGTCGTCTGAAAAATTCGAGAGCATCTCATGACGATATCTTTTTCGTGAAGGAAACCTAGTAGGTCCACAACAACGACAACCATGTTCAGGAGCTTTGAGCATGTGAAATGGGTACTTGTCGTCATCAATGTCAATCCTAGAAGACAATGTGATTGAGATCTAAACAGCGAGTAAGTGAACAGTGACATAGCTGGATTTTTGTTCGAGATCCTATGTCTGAAAAGTTATCTCCTTCGCTCTCTTCATCTCATTCTTTCACCTGAGATCTCCATATATTTCAGAATCTGAAGTTGAAAATCGACAGAGTGGGGCTGAAGCTAAACTCAGAATTCACAGTAGCAGGAGTGAAATGCACCTCCGAGGCTGAAGTTGACGTCGAATAATCCAGAGGGGAACAACACCCATAACATGCAGGATACACCCCTGCAATGGTCTGATGGACAAATGTGCTCTGTGTCGACCTACATCTCATTAGCATTTCCAAAAGATTATGTCATCTTGTGTGGGATAGTGTCCAAGTCAAAGACGTCGATTCTAACAGTGGAGGGAGGACTTCGCCTGAGGATGTAGTGTCTCTAAATCATGCGGCATGCCCAACGACTACTCATTGATGGGTCAGGAGAGAGCGGGATTACCTTCGGCTTTGGCGCCTTGTAGTCATTTGTGAACCCAAAGTCGTCCTTGGGCAAGTAAACCTGCTGCCAAGGTTTGGGTGTTTCCATGCGAGACCTTTCCACCCTGCCTTGTCGGGGTGAACCAACCTGAGTTTGCACAGTGCCATAGCTGGAGAGATTGGACATGACGGAAGCAATGGACGGACATTGGTTGTGCCCTGGACCTGAGTTTGTTGGTGTTGTGGTGTCAGGTCATGGACCTCTTGGTGTTGGGGAAGCTTGAGATGCATTTCCATTGTGTATTTTCGAAGTGAATCCAGCTGACCCAGGGGACACCAAATGCAAATTGGCCACGGAGTCTCTGACAGAATACTCAGAGGGAATCGAGGACCTGCATTGATCTGGGCTTGACAAAGACAAGATGTCAGCATGGCGGTTGTGTGAAATGAAGAGGTGGATTTTATGACATCCGAGGTAGAAAGAAGGCAAGGATGCTGGTGAGGTCGCTATGTAAACTCAGATGTGGGAGTGAGATCTGAAGAGGGCGAGAGAGGATGAAGAAGGAGGGTAAAAGGATGAGATATAGATGGTGAGAAAGATGAGTAAAGTATTGATGAAAAAGCTGCTCAACAATTGAGCAGGGCAAGGTGGCAGGTTGGGATTGCTTGTGGTTGTCAAAGCTGAGGAAGAATGACATCTCAGCTGACCTCGCATGACATATACTACCTCTGACTCAGCATTCGCTCGACCCTCATCTGGAACAGCGTTTTGGCCGGGTAATTTCATTGTAATTATGTAGTCGTACATAAGTTCTTGAATTTATCTAGAGCTACCTAGGTGTAGTAGTCTTGGGTAGACCTGTAGCTACCTGTAGATTCATACTCATCATAGAATATCAGGCTTGGTGGCAACTTGGCGGATGATCTGTACCTTGAATGATGCGAATGGCGTTATCCAGTGACAAAAACAGGCCGTGGGATACTGATGGCTGACCGCACTTCTCCGTGCTTTTTACAATTGAAGCGTTCTCCAAGTCCTTTTACCTTCTTCTTCTCTCCTTCACAAACACTCAAAGGTCAGCCGTTGATAGGCCTTGCCCCCAATCACCATGCACATTCCCACTGGTAAGCTCCACTATTCATGCAACACCACCTGTATAATGCTAATGTGGACAGCCTATGGACAGCAAGCAGGTCCTTGGTCGTTTGCTCCCCACATTCCCTCTGGTGAGCCAACCAACACCTTGTTGCATAAACCTTACTAACGGCACATTAGGTACAGTAGTTTCTATGGACCAACAAAACCACGGCAGTAAGCTTCACCATTTCTTCTGTTTGTTGAGTGTGTGCTAACATGTTTACACTCAACAGTGTCGCTATCACGGTTTGGTTCAAGTTTCAGTAGGGCATCACAACTATTTGCGCAATGCTGGGGAATGTCAACGATCACACAGTGCCGGGGTGCCATCTTTTTGACTGCACATCAACATCATCCCCTGCTCCTTCCAGTGTGCAGTGGCCGACACACTTTGGATGTTTATATGGATACTTGTAGTCTACATTTATGTTGGCATGTACAGTAGCACTGCTGCAATATATTTTTCTGCATACATTTCAGATATTTTTTGGCATTTTTGGCCTGACACTGGAAAGCTCCTTGATCATGTGATAGATCAGATGTGAATCACTGTTGAGATTTGGTTGATTGGTAGGCCGCATAGAGCCTGGTAGACTGGCTAGGAACTGTCTACCCGAACTACCATAAAAAGGCGAAATTACAGTGCTTTACATAGGAGGAGGCTATCAACAGGCCTACCGATCACTATACGTCTACATAGGTCTATGTAGACAATGTTCTGTTTCCAGATGCTAGCACTGAGCTGAGGAACGGCATGGAAGCCTGTACATTCCAGTGCTGCTAGTGTTTAAAGGTTCAGTTCAGTCCGGTTTTTTGCCCCGAAAACGCGCAACCGTGGACCGCAACCGGTCCAGGACCGACCCAGATATTGAGGGAACCGAACCGAACCACCTAGGACCGGTCTTTTGCGGTCCATGATACCGGTTCAGACCGATCCAGACTGGTTTTTTTGCATATAATTTATTATACCAATATAAACCATTTGTATCTCAACCATTATTACTCTGAAAAATAAACGGGTTATATAAAATAGTAAAGCATATAAATACCTGTCATTCTACCAATTTTCAAGAGATTTAATGAAGATTTGACATAGCTATGACTGAAACCGAATTACATCTCATAGAGACTCGCGTAAAATATGGATTTGGTTATATCTTTCTCAATTCTTAACCGTTTTTGATGAAACAAAAACCCAATAAAAGGCAATAAACGTGGTTACAAGGCTATGTAACGCACGTGACCGTTTAACCGGTTGCAACCGATTAAAACCGGTCTTTGAACGGTTTTAAAAGATTTTCGAAATGAGGCAACCGGCAACCGGACCAACCCCAAATTGGGGCAACTGCAACCGAAAAAAAGACCGGACCATGGTCCGGTTCAGTTCGGTCCACCGGTTTTTTGCGGTCCTATGGACTGAACCTTTAAACACTAAGTGCTGCCAATGACTCTGAATTTTGAAGAGAACAGAGCCATGTGGGTGCTGAATTCTGAATGGCAAGGCCATTCAGAAAGACCTTGACCTTGTGCAGAGGCCTCAAAATTGCTCCTTACCCTTGGAACCCACAATTATGCCAACCTTTCACTTCTGTACCATTGTCTACCACATTTTTTTTTTGGGGGGGGGGGGGGAGGGTTGCCTATCAGACCAAAGTAACACGTAACACCTGGGTTGTTGCTGAAAAAAATCCTTCAGGGTGTGTAATGCTCCATCCGCTGTTGCCACCATACAGTTTGGTACAGTATGTGGGAATCACGCGGCCCTCGCTGACTTTGCCTTTCGGAAACGGCTATGTTGTGTATGCACAGTTAGTAGTGGTCTGTGGTTATCTGTGCTTGACCCCTCTTTCCATTAGAACATGCACGTGGTGCAGTGATGCGACATGTTGTACATCGTACCAGATGATCCCAACAACAAGCTTTTTATTGTTTGGTCACTGGCTCCAAAATCATTCTGTTACGGTAAGTGGGCCAATTCTCATGACATGAGAAGGCTCAATCTGAATAGGAAGCACAACCTATTTTACTGACGAACACATGGAGGGACACTATGTCGGAAATTTCCCTGGCACCTAATAAGGGTTATTAGGCCCCCAAGGCACCCCCAACCTAATAATGGCTTACGATGTTGCAGTTAATTTATTAAGTTTTGGGTTAACTTAATAAGATCACCTGATAAGGTTATCCAAATGATAATTAGTCATGGTCTAGATTTAACAATGTTACGTGGCAAATTAAAATGCAACAAGTAGGGATTGAACCAAAAACCTCAGGGCTCATACAATCTTCATGTGAAGACTACAAATTTGTAGTCACAAAATACCACTACACTACAAAGGCATATAAGAAACTTCCCAAGGCCCGTCATATATCTAGTATTTAAGTCTACCTTACATCACCATTATCTTTACTCTCTGTA